GGGTGTTGTGTGTGGCTGACCTTCAACTCAACGCTGTCCCGGATCATGCAGTTGACGGTGTCGCTGCGGGCCTCCAACACGTAGGGGGGCAGCTCCTTCACATACTCCTCAACACCTGTCACGCTAAACTCCTGATATCACCCACACCCACACCCACACCCACCCACACACACGCACAGACAGGCAGACAGACAGACAGACAGACATTCACTTGTCCCAGGTCCCCCCTGCTCATGTTCTGACCTCCTGCTTGGTCCGGTTCTGGTGAATCACACTCCTATACTGTCCGTACTCGTCCGTTCGCACAGCCTCCTCCGTCATGTGGGACGCCTCGGCCAGACGGCTGTGGGCGTTCTGGAACACGGCCTGCCTTTCCAGGTAGTTGTTCGCCCTGATGTCGCGCTTCTCCTGGGCCTTCTTCTCGGCGCGCTTCCTCTGCCGCTTGGTCATGCGGGGCGGCATCTTGACGCTGGGGATCTTGGACTTCTCCGGGTGCCGGATGAGGTCGGCGGAGCCGTCCTCAAGCCACGACTCGAGGCAGCCTTTGGGAGCAGGCTTCTTGTGGTGCAGGTACACCTGTCAGCCAGACAGACGGATACGGACAGAGAAGACAGCACGCCATGCCGGCTGTGTGGAGGATGGCACTGCATGCATGTCAGCTGCTCACGTATTTGTTGTTCGAGGTCTCCTCCTTGGCGGCCTTCTTGCCCGAACGCTTGCCCGTCTTGCGACCCTGGGAACCGACACAACACACGCCAAACGCAGAGAGCCAATATGCAGGACAGACCGACAGACTGGCTCTGACTCCCTGACTCACCCTGGTCTTCCGAGCCACCTTCCTGTATGTGTCGGTGCAAGTAAGTGTCTTTGCAATGCCCTGCTGCACCTGCCTTCAGCTGCTGTGCCGATGCAAGGCTCGAGCCACCTGCAACACGCTCGTCTCACTGACCGACGAACGCAACACGCCGGTCAACGGTCGGCACGAAGCAGAGCCAACTATATGTAGACCCCCGCAGGAGCGATTTTCTTTTATGCTGATGAGGAGCAATGATTTAGGGTAAAGCGCGGAACGTATCATGGCCAAGATTGCGGTTTCAGGAGGGAGTGGCCTAGGAGAACAAATCGAAGCGCAGATCTCTGGTACTGCGGCAAAGAGATGGAGAAGGAGATCTTGCCAAAAGGATGGATGCATCTGCTTATTCCCCCTGTCTGTCCATGCAGGCAGCATTGCTGTCGTTGCGTGGCGGTCCGAGGAGTCAGCGGCCAGCTGCTGACGGACTGACGAGCCCTCACAAAAGATCAGGTGCGCGGATCCCTCCTGTTGTCCGACAGCAGCCGACCGTGCTGCTTGTGTTCGTGCAGACCGCTTGGCGTAGGTTCGTCAACGTGACTGGCTCAGTCACGGCGTCTGGAGCCCTTTTTCAGTGACCAGTTCTCAGGTACAGCAGGGCGGCACATCACACCAAGTGTGATAGCAACTGACCATGTGTTGTGTGTGATTCTGCTGTGCGCAGGACTTGAGGATCATGTCGGCCTCTTCATCAGCCGGGCAGCAGCCACAGCCACAGCCACTACAGCAGGAGATGAAGATAGAGAAGGTGGAGGCCCGTTTCCCGCCCAACACCAGCAATGCCACCAAGCGGCTCGTCCAGGGCATCCTGCGACGCGCAATCACACCTGACGGCATCCGGAGGCTCGTCCGCAAGGGGGCCGACCGCCGGATCCGCATCGACCTCATTACCACGATCACCCTGAGTGGGGGATCACGCATCCAAATCGAGCTGTATGTGTGTCTGCTGTCATTGGCCATCGACGACTGGAGCGCTCCCACGGCACTCGAGCGCGGGCTATGCTTCGGGCGAGACGGCAGGGACGGCAGATGGCTCGTCTTGCCGCTGTGGCCGTCACGCGAGGCGCAGGCGGCCATCCTGTCGGCTCTGATCCAGGAGGGTGCTAGCGTCGATGGGCCATCATTTGTAGCGGGCACCTGGTTGGGCCGCCCGGGGTTGAGTATTGAGGGTCATAGCAAGTGCCCTATCCAGACAGCCGTACGTGCGGGCAACCTCACAGCGGTCAAGACACTCGTCGCACACGGGGCGGTTCTGCGTGGACATCCATCAGGACAAGCACGACTAGGACTGTACCTGCTCAGCCTCCCACGTCGGGTTCACTCCAGCGAGCATTATGAGGCGGCCCTGATGGATATCTTCAACTACCTCGTCAAGCTCGACCCCTCTCTCGTCACCGAGGCAATTGTTGGCAGCAATGTCATCGGTTACGCAGCCACGATTGGCCCCATCTACTCAGAGGGCTTCATCCACGGCTACCTGCAGCTGATGATGGACAACGGCGCCAGCATCGTCGAGTCGGCCCTGCCGGAAGCGGCACACAACTCGTCGTATCACATGATCGAGTGGCTGTGTCAGCATCTCAGCCCCGCACAGATCAACACAGCCCCAGCCCGAGGGGAATTTGGCGCCCACCAGACGCCCTTGGGCCGCGCTGCCATGAGGGTCGCCCAGTTGCGCAGCCAAGGTGATGCTGGTGAGGAGGAGTATCCCTTAGTGCCGCGCGATGAGATCCCGCTGCAGCGGGCCATCCGCACACTGCTGGCATCGGGGGCAGCCATCGACATGGTGCGGACGCCACAGCAGCTGCCACCCAACGCCACCCAGTCCGACCGAGAGGCCCATGGTGTGGTGTTGGCCGAGTACCTGACCGTCCTCAACGACGAGCTGCCGCAGGCCGTCATGGACGGCGTCAACGGCGCCCTCTGCCCCCAGCGTGACGCCGCCAGCGTGCTGACTCCACTGCTGCCCCAGGTGGCATGGAAGATCGGTGCCTTCCTGCACAAGCCAGAGGCCGTCGACACCGTCACCCTCGGGCAGGCCGAGGTGGCCAACCGCATCAAGAGGGCCATGCAGCACTTCGTCAAGTGCGCAGCCACCAAGACGGCCGGCAATCAGGAGGTCATCGGCGGCATGGCCAGTGTGGGCGGTCGGGTGGTGCGGGTGCCCCTCCAGTGCTTCGCCGTCATACAGGGGACGAGTGTGCGGCGCGTGGGTCTGCGCGAGGTGGTCCACAGGGCGCGGCTGGACGAGGCGGCCCGATATGGGCTGACTGGTGTGATCAAGGGCTTCAACAGCCACCTAGGGAATGACGACTGTCAGTTCGGTTGGGGTCAGTTAGGGTGGGTCAATGAGATCGGCCTCTTCCAGCCGCTGGGCATCAACTAGTTAGCCGGCCAGGACGCCATAATGATGGTGTAGCAGATGGAGGGATGGAGGGGATGCATGGACAGGTAGAGGTCATTGGTGTTAACAGTAGCGCTGGCCAGCAGAGTGTGCATGGAGTGACGGTCTCAGAGAGGCGGTGTGTGCGTTTATGTGATTGGCATGGCTAGGGGGAGAGGGAGACTCATCACTCGGCGTGCAGAGAGACAGTTTTGCCGTGTCTAGTGGTGCGTGACGTCCTGTGTGTGGAGAGGGGAGTTGAGAGGGGGGATGTGCAGCCATCCAACTGACACCGCTGCATGGATTGTTTTTGTTGTGTCGGTGGTTGGTCAATTCGTGTGTCCGCTCCTGAGCCATGCACGTCAACTAAAGCACTATCCGAACGGCAATCAATCGCTTTCACATCACCTCAGAAGAAGTCTGTCTGTCTGTTGTACATATGAGCACATCTGAACTGGCGCACGGGGGAGAGGCAACAGTGCAGAGCGGAGCGAGGCTGGACGTGGCTGGCGGTTTCTATTCCACCTATCGAGAATGAATAATGGGACCCTGACCTCCTTGGCGAGAAATCCCGCGAGACGAGACGTTTGATTTTTTTCGCCCTGCTCCATCAGAGGGAGAAAATATGGTATTCCGCCGCATTCTGGGCGCATTTCTTCCTCCTTCTGTCATCATATTGCGTCCCTTTTTCCCTCCCGCCATCGTAGAGCATCCCTCCCGGCGCCTGCGCCTCCTCCTGCAATTGGACGCCATCCCTCGCTATGAGCGAGTGCGTGACGAATGCGCGCGGGGCAGCGACTGTGAGGACCTTCGGCGCCGCACCATGACTGAACCTTCCATCTGGTGCGCTGGGGAACCGCCGCCAAGGCCACCCGGGAGCCTCTATCAGTCACCTGAGGAGGCCCCTGGACTGCGGGAGCTGGACTACCAGAAGCTCTTGAAGGAGAAGACGGTCTGGAGGGAGGTCAAGGAGAAACGTGAGCAAACCATTCTGAGCCAGCCTACTCGACACAAAGACTGCATCCAATTGACAATTGACTGCATCTGACGTCTGCTGTGTGCTGTGTGCAGGACTGGACAAGTACAACTCAAGGACCCTGTATCTCGAGGTGACTCATCTTCTCGAGGACTACTGCTGGTTGAAAGGTAGGTTTAGCAATACAACACAATACAGCGCCTGTCTGTCGACCGTGTGTGTGTGCAGAACACATCAAAGAGCTGGTGGCGACGATAGACCGGCGCGAGAAGCTGATAGCCAAGCTGGCGAGGGAAAAGGTACGCCTAATAGTATCAGCGATGAGCCATACACATGATTCATTCAGTCATCGATCCGGTGTGCGTGGATCAACCTATGTATGTGTGTGTCCGTTCAGAGGGAGATGGGCAAGGCGGCCGCACTGCACCGCAGGCGGGAGCATCAGGAGTGTGGTACTCATCGATTTCGACTTTTGCGTGCCGGTAGGTAGTGTGCTGACGGACACGCAGACGATGGTCGGAGACCTGCTGTACATGGTGAGCACCAACGAACACACAGCGAGAGCGGCGAAGAGATGCACGTTGCATACGTGACGTGTGTTGTGTTTTGTTATGTTGTGTTTATGTACGGCATTTGTTGCAGGCGCCTGAGCACTTCCGTCAGGTGCCCATCACTTCCGTCAAGTTGTCGGCAGCGACTGCGTGAGGACCTTCGGCGCCGCACCATGACATTGTCCCGCCCGCCCATCTGGTGCGCTGGCGAGCCGCCGGCAAGGCCACCAGGGAGCCTCTTCCAGTCGATTGAGGAGGCCCCCACACTGCTGGAGCTCAACTACAGCCAGCTCGTCGACGAGGGCACCCTGTGGAAGGAGGTCCAAGAGAACCGTAAGCAAACCATTCATTCATTCATTCGGAGTGAGTGAGCCAGCCTCGCTCCTTGACAGACACAAGGACTGACTGCATTCATTGATCTGACTGATATATATATCTGCTGTGCTGTGTGCCGCGCAGGCCTCGCGAAGTACAACTCGAGGACGCTGTATCTTGAGGTCACCAGGCTCCTCGACAAGTACTGCTACTCACAAGGTAGGTCTTAACAACAGAACATTACACAACACAGCACAGCACCTTGGATGAGATGTATGTGTGTGTGTCTGTCTACCGTGTGTGTGTGCAGAGCAGATCATCGAGCTGGTGGACACAATACGGCGGCGCGAGAACCTGATAGCCAAGTTGGCGAGGGAGAAGGTACGCCCGCCTATCAGCCAGCCATGACAGAGCCACACACATGATTCATTCGTTCATTAATGCATCGATCCGCTGCGGTGCGGTCCATTGATCAAACGATCGGTGTTTGTGTGTGTCTGTGTCTGTTCAGAAGGAGATGGTCAAGGCGGCTTCACTGCACCGCAGGCGCCTCGCTGGTACACAGACACAGATATATATTCTCAGACCATCAATTACATCTGTCTGTATACTCTTTTGCTTCTTTTGATGAATCAGTCAATCAGGTGAGAATGTCGACGGCCCCCCAGGCCCCTGTGGGTCTGCTCCACCGGTTCCTTCCCCTGCCCCACTGCTGCGGCCGCCGCCAGCATTGCCCCCTTCCCAGCCATCACACCCTCCCTCTCGCACACCAGCCAGCGGGGCATCGGCACCACCTTTCACGCCATTGTGTGGTATCCTCCTTCCCCCGAGGCCGTCAGGTCCCCCTCCCCGCCCCTCGTCAAACATCACAGCCGCCGCCCTAGGAGGGAAAGCCCCCCCAGCACCACTCATCGGCCCCCCAATGAAGAGGCGTGAGCTCACAAGCAGGTGTGCTCACTGACACAACACCGAGACAGCCGGCCTGCTTATCTTTACAATGTTGCTGGTCGGCAGATCGCTGGCTACATTTTATATCTGATCGACCGATAACGACCCTCAACCGCACCGCCTTCCCAGCCGTTTGCACGTCGAATGTGAGCTGTCAAATATGCTGTACTGATCAACTCACGTGTCTCGCGTCTGTGTGAAGGTGGATCGCCGTCTCCACCTCATCACATCTGTGGGCCTCTCCTAGTACTTCATCCAACATTGGCTGCAGCGTCGATCGCGGCCCCACAGGTATGTAGGGGAGGGAGAAAGGAAGACGCTGAGAGCACTTCATCGTGTCTCTTCTCGTCTGTGTGTTACCGCATACTTGGCCGCTTCGGCGGCCACCGAGAGACGAGGGCGACGCCGTGCCGGCAGGAGGAATGTTGTTTGAGACCGGCGGTCAGAAGGGTCCCAGTGAGCAGGTGGGCTGGTGGGCGAGGTTGGGAGCGATGAGGCGATGATGGCCACTATTACATGGCTGTGTGATTTCATGGCTGCCTACATTTTATATTCCAGTGTTTGTCAACGGACAGAGTTGCATCATGCTGATGGGATGCGTGCCGTGCGTAGGTCCTGGAGTGGTGCATTCATGTGGATATGGATGGGTGGCTTGGATGCTTAGATGCATTGACCGACGAACCAGCTGGGATCTTCTCAGTCCTTACTCAAGTCAGCCAGATCTTTCCTAGCCTCCCTCAGCAGGGCATGCAGCTTCGCAATGCACTCACGCGACACACATCTTGCCCCGTTTCTCTCGCTGCTGCCACCGAACGTCCTCTCTGTCTCCCTGACCACCCACCCACCCATCCACACACACAGACTTACCATCCGCTCACTGGCCGAGCAGTGAAACACTCGGCCATGGCCCACTACTTCCTCATCCACAGACCCACAACACCCGCTACTCGCTTCGTTGTGCAGATCACGTGGCAGCCTGCGTCTCAGTGCGGCCTTTCTCGCTCGCCTTTGCACATCGTCTGCCGTGCCCCTCTTGTCCTTCATGTCCTTGACGCGCTCTCCGTGCTCTCGCCACTGCTGCACGCCGTAGGAAGAGCCCAGGAGTGACGATGGCGGCCGGACAAGGCAGTCAGGGGGGCCGCCCAGGAGACCGGTGGCTATGAGACCGACAGCCACAGTGTAGGAAGGCCGCAGAGGGTGCGCGCCATCCGCAGGGGATGACACTTGGCGCCACCAGGGGTCGTGGATGGACCGCTGTGTGGTGAAGGCGAGTGTGCTGACGAGGTCGCTCTCACAGTCCTCGAGGAAGCAGTCGCCCGTGTCTTGGGGCAGCCACACGTCCACACCATCCACCAGCGGCCGACACTCGCCCTCAGACCACGCATCATGCGTCCCATCCGACCTCTCGCCACCACCGCCTCTCTTTTCCTCTTCCTCGGCTTGTTGTGCGGCGGCGTCTTGCATTGATGAGAAAAGCAGGTGTGCGAGGGAAGGGGCCGTCATGTAGAGGGCAACAGTGACGGCGAGGGCACACAGAGCGACCGGCCGCACCTTGGCCAGCCCCTGTGTGAGCGCAAGGGCGGTGAGCGACTCGATGCGGCCAGCGGGGGATGACGCATTGACGATCTGGGCGTAGCTGAGCACCTGGTGAAACAGCCGATCGGACGAAAGGATGGCGGCAAGGGGAATGGGGTTGCCCTGACGGTCGTGGTCCCGTATGATGTCGTCCCGGTAGGGCTGCAGCGCCGACCAATCCACGCCATACTGACAACAGACACACACACGAGGGCAGCCAAGGAAACAAACGGTCAACCCACACACAGACCAATGTCTTGCTGTCGACTTGCGTACCTTTAGCACCAGCGCGCCCATGGTGTACAGCGGCACCCGCCCATACGTCCCCTCAATCTCCCCGCCCACCCCCCGCACCACGCCCAACACATCCCCCAGCGCCTCACACACGCTGAACGGCACTCCGTCACCAGCAGCAGCAGCAGCATCGAGCCGGCTCAACACAACGTCACTGATCACATCGGCCGCCGCCTTCGCCCTCTCCAATGTCTGCGCCGACTTGGCCTTTGTTGCTGGGTACGATGGCGCCATTCTGTGTGGCTTTGATGGGTCTCGGGGCGGGTGTGGGTCGACAGAGAGGGCCAGAGAGTGCAGTGCCGCTGTCCAGAGGGGCGGGTCGGCGGATGGCAGTGGGAGCTCTAGAAAGAGGAAGGTCAGTGAGTCCCGCAAGGCGCGGATGGGGGTGAGCGGGGCCACGGCTGGAAGGCCGCTGAGCACATCCAGACGCTGACGCCTGCACCCATAAACAGAAGAAAATGATGAAGACGCCGTCGATGCGGCCGGCCCTCGTCTGTCTGTCTGTTCAGCCCTCTCCTCTCCTCACCTGGTCATGTGTCCGTATTTGCCGACGGCGTCAAGGACCACCATGGCCAGCGACCCGTCGTTGCCGGCGTGGCTGGCACAAAACCTCACCACACCCTCCAGCAGCTCCTCACGCACACACACATGGTCCGGAGTAGCTGTCGCTCGCGAGAGGGATGCCGCGAGCAGCACTCGCAGGTTGAGGTCGGGCAGGCAGTGCAGCAGAGAGAGGGCCTTGAGACCGACGGCCAGATGAGCGCATGGGGCGGGGACTGCGGGTGAGGGGCTGGTGACGGACTGCACCAGCAGGCAGATCAGGGCACGGATCAGAGACTTGTCCTTCAGGATGTCCAATGCGACCGGTTTCCTGCAGTGAGTGAAGGCAAAGAAAGTGAATGCGCGAGCCAGCCAGGTGTGCATGCCTCTACACGCACCTGAGCGTCTTGAGTCTCTGCGTGACCATCCCCACGACAACAGCCCCGATGCCATCTTGCAAACCACCACCTCCACCACCACCAGCGCCGCTCCTTTTCCCCCCACCGCCCACTAACGCATCCACCAGCCGGGCCACATCCTCACCGCGGCCACCGCCATGCAGGCTGTCCAGTCGCTCCAGTGGCAGGGCCAGTGATGGGTGTGTGTGTGAGGACAGGAAGGAGGGGAAGGGTATGAGCGACGGCACGCCCAGCAGAGTGGCCGTGGCGATGGGGCGGAGTGACTTGAGAATCATGCTGGGGAGGGAGGCCAGAAACGGCGGCAGGGAGGAGGCTGTCGGCCGCACCCACGATGAAAGCATCTCGTGAAGACTGAACACTTCAGACTGGAAGGAAGAAACAAACACCGACCACAGAGCAGCAATGTGCTAAGTGTCGTTCCCCGCCGCCCATCTCACCTTCAGCTGTGCATTCGGGTCATCGGTCTGGTCAGCTTGTTGTCGCTGGTGGTCCATCCATCTGACCATGGGGACGAGTGACGTGGCGAGATGTGTGGCGCCCACCCACACCAGCCCCGCCGCCGTGGCGTCAAGTGCTGGAGGGGCGGAGCAGCCCAGCAGCTGGGCTGTGATGCGAACGATATCACGGACCTCATCGGATGTCACTGCAGACGGAGAAAGAGGGAGAGCACTTGGATGGCGTTGTCCTCTGCATCTGTGTCCACGTGCCTTTTGAGTGGAAGAAGAGCGTGGGGACGAGAGTGCTCATGACGACAAGCAGCAAGGGCGAGGTCTCCACATGGCCACCACACTCATCGAACAACCGGAGAAACTGATACACACACGACAGACAGTGTACATTCATCCATGCGACTCTCGGTCAGTGTTTGTTTGTGTGCCTCCACATACCTTATGAAGGTTGGCCTCGTCCGGCTGGTGCTTGCCCAAGACAACCACCATCCTGGCCACAGCAAGAATTGCACCCCAGCCCACCTGCTGCTGGCCCTGTGTGAGCCCCTTCACCAACATCTCCCACACTCCCGCGCCGCTGTGCGCCCAGTTGGCCTCGCCCTCGGCCACCAGACACACCATCAGACCCTCACGCACATCCCCATCCTCACTCTGCATCCGCGACACGACGCCATCGGCAAATCCTGCGACCGTGGCCGCCTCGTGGATGGACGCCAGAGCTTGGAAGAGAGAACTGACAAGCCAGTCCGGGTGTGCTGCTGGGGCGTCTTGCTGCTGCTGCTGGTGCTGCTGCTGGTGCAACAGTGACGAGAGGTAGTCGATGGCCCGCGATGCGGTGGGCGGGGAGGATCGGGCAAGGGCGGCGAGGGCGTGCAGGATGGACGTGACGGGTTCTGGATCGTTGTGGAGCGAGTACCGGGTGTCGGGCAGTGACGTCAGGTGCTCAAAAAGGTGGTCGGCCTCGTCAATGTGCTGAGAGGGGTCGTCAGCACTCACCATGTCGTTCAGATACCTGCCGACACCAACGACAGGTATCTGGTTGATTAGCTCGCCCACCCACAGCCCACCTGTCAACGAATCCGTTCCAGGCGTTAGGCATGACCCAGCGCATCAGTGGGGTGGGTGCGGGTGTCTTCCAGTCCTCGATGATCTCGTCGACGACCCGCATGCACCTCTGCCGCACCCGCGCCCTCTCGTTCTCTCTAGCCTCCCTCTCCCTCTCCTCACGGCTGCTGCCCTTCTTGCCGCCTTTGCTCTCCGGCATGGCTGCCGGGGGCACACTGGATAAACGTCAGGCAAACAGGCACAAATGGTGCAGTGTGGTAGCTGGTTTGTGGTGCCGTCACGTTGGCCTACTTTCTGGGTGTGAATGTGAAGAGTTGTATTGCGGCAACGACAGGCCTGGGTGCTGAGGATGTGTTGGATGAGGACAGCACCTTGTTCAGCAACGCCAGCTGCGGGTGCCTGAGACGATCCAAACCCTCTGCAACACAGAGAATGAAACCAACAAACACATTCAGCAAATTTGCCAGACTCTCTCTCTGTTTGCGATTCTTTCCCCCCACCTGTCCGTTTCCGCCGTCCCAACTCCTCCCTCTCCACCTTCATGACAGCTGTCATCACCTCACCCAGCCCCGCCAGCGCCTGGGGGTCTCGCTCACGCTCAAACGCACTCACGATGTCGCTCGGTGTCGAGTTGACCAGCACCAAACGGTCAGGGGTGGCCGAGGGCGCCGGCAGGTCAGTGCGCTTCGTCGCGCGAGAGCCGCCGAAATCAAATTCATTCTGAAGGGAGCACGCAGGGCACGAGAGAGATGGCCTGCAGGGACTTTCCTCGTGTGCTGTTCCTGACTCCTCACATCTTCGCTGTCTTTGTCAGCCGCTGGTGCACTTGGTTGCGTGTCGGTGGTGGTGGTGGTGGTGATGGGTGGGTAGAAGTAGCCGGGGAACAGTGCCGCCAGCCCCCGGTAGGCCGCCCGTCTGACCTCTGGGTGTGAGTGCCCGCTCAGGTACTCCAAGTGGCCAAGAGGGGTCACCGCCCCGCCCCCGCCGCCCTTGTCCTTCGTAATCGCATCGATCTGGTCCTTCAGAGCCACGTGGGCGTATCTCGATAGGAAGTGGGCCACGGCATAGTGCACCAGCGGTTCTTGGGCGTAGTCAAAGAGGTGTGGGTGTTTCTTGGTGAGTATGGCCCACACCTTGGCGAAGTCCATCAGGTCGTGGCAGCAGAGGCGGGTGAGGCAGCCAAGGGCTACCGACGACACAGCCGGGGAGGGATCCTGATGGATGGATGGATCAGACATAGCATAGACCGTCCAAATGTCCGCAAAGTGTGTGTGCATCGTGCCGTCACTCACTTTGAGGGCGGCCTGTATGGACGAGAGGCACTCCACTGCATCATCGGGCTGCTCCCCAGCCATGTCGCCCAGCACACTCAGCTGCGCCAGACGCACCACGGCCGGCTGGCCGTCGCCGCCCTCATAGGCCACCAGTCGACTCAGCTTGCTGAGCGGCATGTGGCCGTGCAGATACAGTCTGCCCATGAGGCGTATGTGGAGTGCCCGGATGCGGTCGTCTTCACCGGTGGTCAGGTACTGAATGGCCTTGAATGTGGGCTGCAAAGGAGAGAGTGAGGGACACACACATCACACGTGTTTGGTGCGTGTGGATGAAATCAATGGGCGGGTGGGCGAGGGAGGGCGGTGCTGACTGACCGGCAGTAAAAGCTTCGGGTGCGACTTGGATGCGATGACATACATGCCAAGCACCTGGGTGTGGTGTGGTGTGGTGATACAGGGACAGCCAGGCGTCTGTCTCATCCAAACCGTTTGCATGGCAATTGACGATTCCCTCACCGTACTTACCTGTAGAGGTGCGTTCTGTTCGTCCTCCACAAACCTCACCAGATGCGGGAGCAGCCGCCCCGCCACTACGGCATCACCGAACGACGCCTCGAACACCACCTGCAGGCCCCTCAGCCGCGCCCACGGCTGCTCCCGCCACAGCATCAGCACAGCACACGCTAGACTCACGTAGCCGTCGGCGCACAACACCTCCCCGTCCACACTCCAGCAGGAGGGCAGTGCTGTCGGCCCTTCTGCCTCCATCGCCTCTCGCCAGTGGACGAGAATCGATGACGGCACCAGGTGCGGGAAGGGGCATATGAGGGCGTCACCCGTCTGGTCGACCTCTGTCGACAGTGGGGGCGGGTGACATGCCCGGAACGAGACGGCAGACCGCTGAATGGACAATTGGGGGGGAGAGAGAGAAGCCGAAGCCGGGGCTGCCGCTCCCGCAGCAGGGATGCACTTGCCGATGAGTGCATCGATGGTCGTACGGAGTGACGCCATCGAAAGCAGCTGCTGCAGTGCGAGCAGAGGGGCGGCGACGAAGGACAGAACCCCCCGGGGGATGTCGGCGTGCACCGCATCCAAATGGTGGCTCAGCATCGTGAGGATCTGATAAGTTAGTTATGACAGGAAGAAGGACACATCCATCAGGTATGCTCTCTCGTCGACAAGTGAGGACCTCACTCATTCTTCGGTCCTCACCTCTTCGATTTCGTCACAGTTGTCCTCTGACGTCCACGCCAGCCACGCGAAGGCTACCAACACCTGACAGCAAAGAGAGTCCTCCACATGGTGCGTGCAGTGGCGGCCAGATCAGCAGCGCCCACCGTGTGGAAAGGGGCTGAGTGTCGTTTGAGTGTGGCGAGCGGATCGTCAATCGGCCACCTAAGGGGCGCCGTGAGCCGTCGAAGAGCCGCCAATGCATCGCGATCGCTACACCTGCAACACCCACACAGACAGCAGCCGGTGACACGCGGCGAACCTTCTGCGATCCTGACCTTGCTTGAACGGCGCGATCAGTCAACGTCAGGGCCATGAGGCCCACAAGGCGCCCCAAAGACTCACGCGCCTCCTCGTCCCGCTCTCCTTCCCGCCCTTCGCCGGCACACAAGTGCCCGGCACCCCTCTCCATGACTGCAAGGATGCCATCGATGGCGGCATAGCTGCCGGCAGGTGGTGATGCGTCGTTGACGGACTGGACGGTAGTCAGCAGGTGTGCGATGAGGAGCGTCGCGGGAGGGTGAAAGGGGAAGGGGGGATCGGCCGAGGTGGCCAGCCGGATAATGCGATGGACGGCACTCGAGTAGAGTGAAGCCGCCCAAGCCTGAGGGATATATGGAAGGAGGGCAGATGGACAGCCATTCTCCTAGTTGTCATCTTGATCCCGTCACATTGCCCACCTCGGTGCTCTCCTTCACCCCAGCCAGCCGCACCACATCGAGCAGCAGTATCATCAGGCCACGATCGCCCTCCTCAGTGCCGCATTCATTCTCCTGCCACATTTGCTCGATACGGTCTCCGAGCACATCGACCAGTGCCACGCCGAATGAAGGCTCGAGCAGAAGAAAGCGCTGGGTGGTGCTGCGAAGTGATGACTGAGGCAGCAGGGGCGTCCCATCCTCCTTTGCCTTCATGCCAAGACGCACGAGGTGTTCTGCGCAGGGCCGGATGAGCTTGCGATGCAGCTTGCCGCATGCCAGTCTGGCGCCGATCTCATCGAGTGTCTTGTCCACCGCGGCAAGACCCTCGATGCACAGCTCAACTGAAGCCCACACAAACAAACAAACAAACAAACACACATACACCACGGATCTATGACAGATCTTCTCCTCTCATGTGATCCGGTTCTCACCGAGAGCATGAAGGGCCGCCTGCGAGGCAGCAGAGCTGCCCTTGTCCAAGGTGGCGAAGAGTGTGCTGCGGCATTGCTCCACCTCATTGGGTTCGTTGCGATAGTCAAGGGCTGCCTGTAGAAGGGCATCGACGGCTTCTCGTTGGAGCCGGGAGTCGCCGATCTCGAGCTTGGCGCTCTGCTCCTTGAGCTTCTTAGCGAACTTAGGTGCTGATGATGGCTTACTCATCGACCCGCCGATGAATGAACGAGCATTGCGAGATCTCCACAGCCACCAGAACCGGACGAAAGAAGCGTCGCAGCTGCCGAGGGATTGCTGTGGCTGATTGGCCTTGCAAGCTTACCGTTTTTCCCGTTGGGATCTCAACATTGTATGCAGAAATGAAAGACCATGTGATTGTTTTTCGCCGACTAACTAGCGTTCCATTCACCCGCCCCCGCCACTAACACACCCGTGACGGCGTGTCTGCCACTCGCTGTCTGACACTCGACATGAATGCAAGACAAACGGTGACATGCGCCGAGGTATCAGCGCAAAAAAGGCATCATGATCACACACACACACACACACACACATGATACAAGTCCTAGCAGCAACAGCCTTTCTGCAAATACCGTAGTCACCAGCAGTTAACACGCAGCCCTGCCCTACTCCAAACGACCTGCTTCTCCAGAGTGTACATCGCGAGCGCCCAGCCCTTTGGATGGTGTTCCAGCTCAGCTTCCGACATACACTCACATACCACTTGTCTACCATGGCGATAAGGGCGCCTCATCGAGGCGAATATCCTCCTTAGACTGGGGGGCAGAGCGCTCTTCGGTCTGTGCGTCTGCGTCAAATGGCGATGCTGTCGGTTCCTCTTCATCTATCAGCTCAATCACTGCCTCAGCAGGCTCAGCCTCATCGACTGCCATCTCGCCATCCCCAGATACGATGTCAACTGATCACCCACAGCATCCATCGCAGGACACAACACAACACGTACACCCGCGGTGGCTGTCTCCCTCTGTTTCTCTCTATTCCCTCCTTCCTCTCTCTCTCTCTCTCTCTCTTTCTCTCTCTTCTGTCGTACTTCTGATGTCCACCGCAAATTCCTTTGGTCCTGGCTTGCCCTCGTGATCATATGGCAGTGCCCGAACATAAAACCTGCCGCCCTCCAACACCATCCCCTCCGGGAGAGGCGTGAAGTTCTCGCCGTCGACATCACCCATCAGAGTATACGGGGCGGTCTCGTCGAAGCTAGTCTTGATCTTCTTCCGGCGACTGTCCATCAGAATCCACTCCACCTTGGAAATCGGGCTGGTGTCAGATGCCTCGCATTCAGTGGCTTTGACGGTGAAGTTGGCCCCAGGAAATGTCTTGGTCGTGTCAATTACATAGGTGAAGCCATGCTTGAGCAGCACCGAGTTCCGAACCGATTGGGCAGGGGCCACCGTATCGTCCTCATCGGTCAGCTGCGCCCGCCGGAGGTTGGACGGCTTCTTTGGAGATGGCGCTCTGCTGGCTGCAGGTGGCTTGCGCGGCGTGCCATCACTGCTGAGGGCGATGAACTCGAGACCCCTTAACACGGGCTCTGAATGGAGAGACGGGCAAAGCGCAGTTGGCAGAAGGATGCGCAGCGCATTCGTTGTATTGTCCCTCCTGCTTACCGTAGTCAATGCATTCACACGACGGCAGCAGACGGACTGAGCGCCAGCAGACAATAACATCAGATATGCGACGAGCGAGCGAGTCACTCCCCCTTCCCCCGGACAAACCTACTCGAGAAGTGTTTTGCGAGGCCCGCCTCTCCGTGCACGTCGTAGGGAGTCGCTCTCAACGTATAGTCGCCCCCACAACCACTCAGCTCCTTGACCCAACGGGGCGCGCCAAGGAACTGGACGCCGGCCGCATCCGGCGAGGCGGCCTCTTTCTTGCCGAATGCTGAGAAGGGCGTTGACTGATCACCGTTGGGCGATCGGCCGTCGGTCGCTGAGATGGTGTATTGTTGCCAGTCGAGGAACTCGAACAAAACCGACGTCGTGTCGTTGGAAGCCGTCGCGAGGAAGGTGAAGTCCTGCATCTCATTCTGCTGGTACATGATCTGGTGGCGGCTCTGATACTGCAGGCACAGGATGAACCGAAGCGCGCGCACACACACACACACACACAAAGACACAGGGGTGGGTGTGGTGTTTGCTCTGCCCCTTGCATTGTGTGTGGCACCAGTGGTGTTTTCTCGTAAATACTGCCTTCCATCGAGGGGCCAAATCGGTTGTCATAGAGGAGGGCAAACTCCACTGTGCCAAGCTTTGGCCCAGAAGTGGCCTTCTCGAGGTTGGTGCAAGTCCTGCAGGCAGGCAGAGACAGACAGGGACAAACAGAGGTGCTTGTCTGTTTCCTTCGGCTTCTGAGGTACCAGAAAGAGTCAACAGCATCAGGGGGAGGGCACTGCTCGATTGCAGGGCGACACTGAGCAAAGCCGCCCTGCCAACGACAAACAAGGAGGCGTTCGCCTTGGAGGCAAGGCGGGCGTTACTTCGGGTGTGTGCAGACCTTCGTTTTCTGTTTGCAAATGGCCCCGTAGTCCAGGCAGCACTCGGTCTCCGTGCACACCTCCATCAGCTGGCTGCAGGGCTGTGCGCCTGACGCAACAGGGAGCTTACCAGCCGCGGTAAGGAGGAGAGGAAGGACGGCAAGCATCCTTCCCTTCATGTGGCTGTACTTAAGAAAATACACAAGAATGGCCTGGCTGCCGTGCAACGCTGGGCAACGAAGGGCGGCTTTTATTTCGGCGTCGTCCGTCGGGTGTTTGTTCCTGCCTTGCAAATGACTTCTCCCGAAGCTGCTGCATCTGCCGTGAGTTCCATCCCCCGTCCATCATGTCACTCGCGTGCAATGAAGGCCACAGCATCCTTCGGCGAATTCGAAAGCCGCATCCCCAGACCACGCGCATTGAATGTCACCCGGCAACCATCCGCAGCCGTGGCCAGCACTGTTGATGGCATGAGAGGGGGCCAGCGGCTGAGTGCAGACGATGCGGCGACGAGCGAGGGGCCATGCGCAAGTGACGCGGGTCGGTCTGCGTCGTCTGCAATGACGACTCGGAGTCGGAGCGGGACCGGCGGCATGCCCAATAGAGGGAAGGGCAAGGTCAGTCTGATGGTGTATCAGAAGCTGGTCGGCGAGAGCGATGGCGGGGGGGAGTTGCCGTACGAGCAGATCAAGGATTTGCTGGGCAAGTACAAGGCGACTTGGGGCAATAGGTGAGAGGCAGAGGGGCGGAGAGGCGGAGACTGTGAGGAGGGCGTATGGCACAGCGGCGGTTCTTTTGTTGTCTGCAGGTTGTTTGTGCACTGGGTCAACTCTCGCGGACGAGAGTGTGTCCGCATCAAGAACGACTGCCTGTGTCTGTGCGGGCACTCGTGGAAAGCCCACGAGTGGTATGACCTGCTGCACAAGCAGGCCCCATGTAGATGCCCGGGGTGCAAGTAAGAAAAAGAACACCTCCACAGTCAGTCGTGCCCTTTTCCTCTCTCACTTGGACTGACTGTACAGGTGTCCTCAGTTTTCTTACCTGCCCCATCAGGGCAGCTGGTATCTCCATTGCAAGTGCAAGCATCTCGCCACGCAGCACTTCGTCAATGGCCTCCCTTCACCCTGCCAAGTGCGGGTCACCCTGGCCAATGGGCAGACCCGCCCGTGTGGCTGTGAAGGGCTGCAGTCGACCTACAGGTGCAAGTGCGGCGAGTCATTCCACGAGCACACGACCGTCATTGAAACCGAATCCGAAAGAAGGTGCGGACAAAGCGCATGCACAGTGTCCGGCTTTTGTTTTGATGTGTGGATTTTGTTCTCGCCAGGGCCGCGGGCAAGCCCGTAGATGCTGATACAGTGGCGCATCGCTTGGAGCGAGTGCACCGGGCCAGACCCACGAATGGATGTGGTACGGAGGAGAACGGCTTGACATAGAGCAATTTTCATAGCGCATGGTGTCTCTTTGTTCGTTGAAGGCGTGTGTGTGGGCTGCAAGTGTCAGATGCCGTGTCGGAAGGGCAAGGCATACAGCAAAGACGACTTCAAGAAGATCTCACAGATCTGATGCATATGTTGGGGGAGATATCGTGTTTGTGCATGCGACGACTGAACGGTTCACAGACGGGAGTATACATGGATCAAACAGACGTACGGTCTGACACATGGACATGGCTTGCGCCAGCTACATTGATCAAGTCTAGTCTACCTGCAGAGAAATCTACTTGTGGATACGCAACGTAGCGTAGAGACATAGAGGGGCCATTGCTACTACTGACGCCTCGGTATAGATGCACTTTCCTCGACAAATAGAAAAATAACCCGCCGTACACAAGTATCCACTTCCACCATTTGAAAGCATGAACCGGTCCAGGCGGACTACTCTTCGGAGCCATCATTATTCCCTCTGCGGAGAGAGTGACTCGGGGGGTTGGCAGGGCCGGCTGTGCCGAGGTTGGGAAAAACCGGCTGGGCATCGTCCTCACCTGTCGAGCCGATGTCCTCTGAGGACTTCCTCTTTGCCTCCATGCCCTCGTCTCTTGCCACAGCTGACGCACTCTTGCCCGTCAGGTCGGCATAAGACAGCGAGTCAGCCACGTCCTTGTGAACATGTGTCTCTGCCTCGTCGCCTGAACGCTCGTGGTTTTCTGCTATTGTCACACGGTCGCCATGGCGTTGTCTTGTGGCTTTGCCGCTGAGAGGCTCAATCGGCATTTCTGTCATTCCGCGCGCGTACTGCCCCTTCCCGGGAGAGACTAGTTCATCATCGCCGTCGCGGCCTGGATCGTCGTCCCTGTCTGCGAGTGCAAGGGAACCGCTCCTCTCCTTGTCGGATTTCTGTGCAAGGTGAAAGGCGCTGACTTGCTTTACTTTGACATGTCTCCAGCATCGTCCTTCAGGTGTGCGTACCAGTGCCTTGAAGAGGCCGTGGAGGGGCTGGTCCTCCTTCTTAATCAGCTGGCCAGACTCGGCCAACACATCTGCAAGCTGGGAAGATAGGAAAGGGCACAGGACAGACATCGTTCGTGGATCGGGCAAAGCGAATATTACAGTCTCTCCTGTCAGTACCCCGGCCCTCCCATCTGCGTTGTCCTCCTCGCCAACGTCCTTCTTCTTCGCCTCCAGTTCAAGCGCTGCCCACAGATCATCTTCCTCAAGCTCCATCAGCTCCTGCGTATGCATTTGGGGCAAGTTGCGCGTTGCGTGTCTGTAAAGCCGATGAGTGTACAGCGCACCTGAGCGGCGAGCTGGAACTCCTCATTGGTCATGCCCGTCGCTAGCGTCGCAGGGCTGTTTGTCAGCGTCTCCTCGGCCAGCTTCTTCACAGACACTGGCAGATGCGTCTGCTCGATCTTCTTCTGCAATTGAATCTTCTTGGCTGCAAGGAAGATGCGGCCAATGAGGTCGGGGGGAATGGGGGACAACTCCAAAGTGTCGATGCAGTGCTCGAGGAGCTGGCCAAGAGTACGCATGAGATAGCTATTGTCATTGAAGCTACGGGACCCCTTCAAATGAAGCCAATCGAAGTCAGGCAAAGAAGTGATCTCCTTTTCAGCGTCCTCACCACCCAGTAGAACTGACAAGGACACACAATCCGTACAGTGACAGCATTGACAGCGACGAAAATACACATACCTGTTCTTTCGACTGGATGGATGTAGAACCGCTCGCGACCTCCTTGAGCCTTCTTCGCGATGTCTTTCACAGCCTGAATGGGTATCCCAACAAAAAGAGTCGGTTGCCGTTTCTCACTAGATGCATTCCCTGACTGTAGCTCACCTCGTATCCCTTCTTGAAGACGGCAGTCACACGGGTGTAGGCTTCTGTGAAGGCTGAATTCCTCCTCGGCTGCCCATCCTCCTGCCCCTGTCCCTTCTTGCTTAAGAAAGAGAAGATCGAGCTGCGTTTGCTGCTCGCCGACGACCTCCGTTTCTCTTCACGTCTCCGCTTTCTCTCCTCCCTCTTGAGGCGCTTGGCCTCCTTCTTGTCAACGCCGGCTTCCTTCACGGCTGCTTTGTCGGCAATGCTTTGGAGCTGCGACACGCCGACGTCGCGGATCAAGTAGTAAATCGCTAGGTAAAGGAAGTAGCCTGCACACCAACCAACCACATCAATGAAGGAATGTATCAATCACACACACACAAGAGCGTCCTCAACTCTTGCCCCACTCCCTCCCTCCCTCCATCCCTGACCGTTGACGATAACCAAGCCCACTGCGCAGACTGTGTTGAAATCTGGGCCGAAGTCCTCTCCGAAGATGAGCATCAGCTGCAGCAGCATCAGAGTGATGATCCAGCTGAAGAGAGAGAAACTCTCCAACTTGTCCAGAGCTCCATCCTGCACATGGTACGGTACAGGGAGGAAGAGATGAGACACGCCTCCCTTGAAGGGAGAGCGCATCACCTGTCGATTGTCATATGGCCCAAAGGAGACATGGAGGGCCAGTGCCGCCGTGGCGACCATACCATAAAGGATCAGACGGGCACGGACATCAGGTATCGGCACGAATGTCACTATAAGAACCAGCAACTTGCGGAACATCTGACCAGCAATTGTATGTATCAAGACACATTGGCGACACATGAGCATCGGCTGAAGTGGGCATTACCTGAACTAATTCCCAATAGTAGAGCGGCTCTTTCATTTCATACCCATTGTACAGGAAGCCCAACACGCTGCGGACTTTGGGTACATTCAGTCTCTTGCGATTGAGGTAGAGGATCACCCACACCGCAAAGATGCCCCCCGCTGACCAGAAGAGAAGGCCAGTGAACGCAAGCCATATCCATTGGTAGTATAGCTCCGAGCCGCAGATGACGTCAAGATTTTGCATGAGCCGCATCTCGTCGTCCCGGTAGCCCTTCCTGACAGTCAACGCAAGCACAATTCCGTATTGGCCATACGTGTGATTTGAGGAATTACATCGGGTAGAAGCCACACTCCACGAGACTTAGCATCCTCTCTGTCACTTCGGGCCACAATAAGAAGATACAAATGATGTACGCAGGCGCCCTAACACAGACAAGAGTAACGCAGGCATGACACGACTGTATGTGTGTGACTGTCGGTTGCTTTCACATGTCGATGAAGAACGCTTTAAGTTGCGGAATCATCCTGTCGGAAACAGTCTGTCTCGGCCGAAATATGCCGAGGATTCGGATGGGGCCCTTGTTGTCATCCTCCTCCTCACTCGATGAGCTACTCGACTCCAAGTTGTCATCCTCGTCGACCTCACCATCCCTACTTGCCTCGGTGAAGACCACACTACGCGCTGACTTGCTACTCATCAGAGCCTTTTCCTTCTCCCTCCTGTCCTCTACCATTGCCGCGTCTACAACGCTGGCAAAGCGGTCACCTGAGGAGGGATTAGGCCATATGACACTTTTCACCGCAGTGTTCACAGCTTACCTTTTGTGTTTTTGTCTGCGTCTTCTGCGCGGTCGTCGTCGTCTTTGAACTCATCGGCATTTTTCTCCCGGTATTTCTTGTGGCCATCGAGAAATACTTCAACCTTGTGTGTGTGTGTGTGTGTGTGTGTTGTATGCACTCACCTTGGCCAAGTCTAATAAATCGACCTTCAGGCCAGGGCTCTTCGGCTCTAAAACGATAGGCGCATGTGTGACTCTTTTGTCTTTCATGAAGGTCTTAGTTACCGTCTGCGATCTCTGTAGTCGCGTTTGCGTCTTTCCCGGTTTTCTTCCTCAGAAAAAGATTCTGCAGCAATGAGGACTTTCGATCGTCATACTTTCGGCTTTTGCTCTTCTCGGCCAGATTGAAGGTGGCAAGGAGGGCATGCTGGACGGCTTTTACATCGTCTGTTTCTTCTTCGGCCGGGACAGTGGGCTGCTTGCGGACGGCGAGGCCTTCACTCAGCCTGCCCCACATTCCCGTCCTGCCCTTGAGGGCCCCTTTGGGCATTTGCGCGACATCTCCTCCGTCCCCTTGTGTCTCTGTGGCGTCTTGTCTCTTTCCGTCTGTGCCCTCCGCGGCCTCCTCGCCCTCGCTTCCTTGCGCAATCGGAGCTGTCGCATGCTGCTCGATAACATCGAATTGCACGGTTGGTGGACTCGCTACCTCCTGCTCCGATGTCGCCTGACGCGCAGGTGTGGCAACCATAAAGTTGTCGAAGGAGTTCTGCTTGACGGGGATGTGTGACGACTGTTCGCCCTGACTCTTCGCGTCTGGAGGGGCGGGACTGTCCTGGTCAAAGAGGACGTCCCCCGGGTCGACCATGTCGTCCACGGCCTCGCCTGAATTGAAGTGCACAGCAACCGGAACAGCAGCCGGCGCAACCCGGCTGTCCCCGCTCTTGCTGTGGGCCTTGCCAGCTCCAAATTCCAAACTGCTAACATTCATCGCGCCTTCATCCATGTTGGTGCCGAGAGAGCGGGCTGTGTCCTTGCGCCCAAGGCTGAGGAACGACCAGTGGGAGCGAGACCACATGCGGGACGGCTTCTTGCTTGGACTGGCGCCGTCCTCAGTGAGTTCTGCGTGACTTTTCTTGCTGTTTTTCCTGGACGACAAGCGCTTCTTGATTGCCCGCTGCGTGCGCTTCCTCAAGTCGTTCATCGTCTTCTTGACAAGACCTTCCTTAACTGCACACACAGACACACACACCGCGTTTCCGGATGCATACAGGCTCTGCTTTTTGGATACGCACAGAAGAACTCCAGGAAGGTGGCAATAACGGGAAAGCTCCAGAGTGGGAGTCCAACAAGAGTCAGGACAAACATCCAGATCACAGGGGCCGCAAGCCAGAAATAATAAGGATAAGGATTGGCGTCGACGGGCTCAGGGACTCCGCCAGGGGTGCCTGCACTCAGGTAAGCCGATGCGGGCACTCACTTCGATTCTTGCGCTATTTCCCCTCGTCGTACTGTTTCTGGGAAGTGACCCCGCACCGAAGAGGCAGTCGAGGACCTAAAGGCAACACACACATATGTTCCAAGGACGCATCACACCATGATATAAGGCAGTGGAGCACCTGATTGGGCGTGGCGACTTTGAAAGGTAGATTGAAGCTGCCCCTCCAGAAGTATATGACACTCATCGCTGAACATACACATACACCACACGGGCAGTTTGTTACACATACTGCAGAATGTCTCCTCCGTTGCCGTCATCTGCAAATGGAGGCCACTTAGGCGGCACTTTGAGTGGTTTCCATGTCTTGTCATCCTTGAGTGTCTCCGTCCGCACGCTCTCGTACCTGCAAATCTAGACATCAACGGAGTGCCACTTACCCTTCCATCTCGCCTACTTGTCTTTAAAGAACACATCCACATTGGAGTAGTCGAACCCCCACAGCACAGAGACCACTTGAAGGTGGGTTGTTAGTATCTTGAAGATGACCGAATGCAAAGCAGACTTTTCCTGGCTCGACTCGATGGTGAGCTTGGCAACGTAAAAGGAAATGATGGCACTCGAAAACGGGCGGAATGCAAGCTGTGCAGCCAGCGTGGCGACGGAAAACTCCTCCTGGCAGCTGATACACTCGTGCTTGTCGGGCTTGATGCGGGTGTACCCGGCCTTGCATTGACCACATGCATAGCCCTGGAGGTTTAGTTCTTCCTTGCAAGTGCTGTTTCCTGCATTTATTGGGGAGAAAGAAAGATACACTTCGGCTGTTGTCTTATTGTAAGATGTCTGCCTCACCAACGCATATGCCCTTCTCTGGGCATTCGACAATGACGGGGGCCAGAGCAATAATCTTCACGTCAGTTTCATTGCCAACAACTCCCCCCTCGTCAGCTGCCTGTAGCAGCCTACGAGCCGACGCCGGCTGCGCATCCCCTTTCTGATTGCGATTGAAAAGGGCGTCTAGGCCCAGTGCTCCCGGTTGCCAGTAGTCTGGCTCTGCCTGTGGCTCGACCCCTTCTCCGCACTTCCACCCCTTTTTCCCCTCACAGGGGTTGCATGTCATGACGCTGCCGTTGACTGTCCGCTTGATTACGGCGTAGAAGCCGCCTGACAGTTAGCAGTTATAGACGCTAAAGTGCAACCCTTTCCCTCTCATTTAGTTTATTCTGACCGCCACAATAGCAATCATCTTCCGATGTGGCGCCCCGATCACTCGTGGCTGCCAAAGGACACGGATTGGTACACTGAGAGAGACATACATGTCAAGTGGACGGAGCCATCTCAGCCGCATGAATATCATGCATACCTGGATGTTGCCCTGCACACCCTTGAAGACACCTGGAAGAAAGCGCGAGAGACAGCCAGATTTCGTTTGTCCAGGTGAATCGATGGCTTGCGTACCTCTTCCGCACTTGGTGCAGTACCCTCGTCCATATGCACTCGGCTGGTAGCCGGCGCCACAGACTGCACGGCAGAAGAGCGCAGCAGAAACCCGCTAAAGCTTTGTGAGCTAGAAGTTGATGTACTCACTGCAATCCGTGTCCAACGACATTGACTGCTCCGGGGTCTGCTCGTCGCTCTCGCCACCCTCGTCACAACGAATGGGTGGGAACTACATGCCCCCACAGAAATGGTGCAGCGCCAGGGGATCGCTGGTACACTTGACGCACTGGTCCTCTGGTGGCCCAGGTGTTGTCAGCGTGAGAGGTGCAGGGGAGGTGGTTGTGACGTTGTTCTGTGTCTCGCTGGGACTGACGGTGCTCGCATCCACAAGGGAGCTCGGAGATGGGCTGACAGTTGTGACAGTGATGGGCGAAATTGGCGGAGTTGTTGATGGCGCGCTGCCTTGAAGAACGCGGCTTCTCGCTTCTCGCTCTGTCCAGAAATCCCATGACAGCAGAGCACGAAGAGAAGCAGGGGCGATTGTGGAAGGACTGAGCGTCTCCAGCGAGCTGTTTGCAGGGGGAGCCGTGGTTGTGGCCAGGAGAAGCTCGTTTGTGCTGAAAAGCGAGCCCGTGAGGGCACCAGTGGGCGCAATTGTTGTCAGCATGTCGAGAGCTGCTGTTGTTGATGTGATGTTCCCCACATGAGCAGGAGGTACGGTGGTAGCTGCTGCTTCACCGCACATCAAATCGATGTAGTCTTGACTGTCTTCTTTCAGATCCATGCACTTGTTCTCGCGCCGTCTCGTCGCGAGCATCTCCTTATACGCGAGTATGTCAGCTGTAGCGTACGCTGGAAGGCTCGTGTTGCTCGGCAGTTTCCATTCGCCGTATGTAATGGTTGTCTTGTTGTCGCCGCCCACCAGTGTGCCATTCGCGCCGATTGTCACGTTCATCATGTTCTCAGAAGTAGTGGCATTCAAATCCAATGCCTTGTTCAAAACAGCTGTCGTCTCGTCGAAACTCACTGTGCCATTCAGTCCGCTGTCGGCTGCCGTGCCGTTTGTAGTAGTGGTGTTGTCCACAATGATAGTTATCTCCCGCCTGTAAGGCTTCCAAAAATATCCTGGCTGGCAAGTGCAGTCCTCTTCGGAAGTTGCACCGGAGATGGGTGCGACCTCGCCATTCGCTCGAGGGATCCAGCGGGTGTACTGAAACCCTATGTCAGTGCACTGTGGGTTGGATGAACGGAGGAGGAGAAAAAGAAGAAGAAGAGAGAGCGAGAAGAAGAAGAGAGAGCGAGAAGAAGAAGAGAGAGCAAGAGAGGGAGGGAGGGAGGGTGAAGACGAAGTGATGCTGATATGTACTCATACCTTTCTGCAGGGTGTGTTGCCGATGGTGTCCTTGAATGTGTGCGGCTCACATTGAAGGCACACCCATTCATCACCTTGTGTGATCTGCTCGTACCCCTTCTCACTGCAACAGGCATCAAAAGGTTATAACAGCATTGATGTGTACGCATGGGCGCCGGACAGCTGACTGACTGACCATTGGCATCGATCGACATTGTCAGCACCCAATTGGAGAGTCACAGCATTGGCGGGACAGGGCTGGCGAGGCCGGTGAGCGCCTCCTTCGTCCTTCCCACCAAGACAATAGTAGTCGAGTTCGCACAGGCGGCAGTGAGCCTCGCCTTCCTCTCCCTGCTTTGGAATCCAGTAATAATAGCCACTGGCATCGACAGTCATCAACCGCAATGGCGCCCGGGGCCTCTGCACACGTCTGTGGCTGGCTCTTATCAACGGTGGGTGGACAGGTATTGGCATTCCGGACACACTGGAAGCACGCGTGGTTGCCACGTGATGGCTTGTAGGTGCCCGTGGTGCATTTGGTGCAATTCGGATAGTCCATGCTCGTGTAATCGGGGACTGGCAAGTTGTATGCGCTGTAGTAGCCTTCCGAACATATGCAGTTCTTCCTGTCGGCAACCCCTGTTGAGTTGGTCGTGGTGCCGATTCCACTTGGGATGCACAGCTCCGCGTTGCGCTCGTCCGTGCCAATCTTGCCTCCAAGACATACGTGTCCAACTGCGGAAGAGACACGCAGACAATGTGGCGACACGCAAAAAATGTGGAGACACGCAAATGACCTGGGCACACTTCGCAGTCGGCAACGTTGTTTGTGCGGAAGTACCTAGGGAGGCACTCACAGAATGTCTCTACAGTCCGACCCTATGTATCGGTTGTGCTGAATGCGTAGGGGCACTGTGTGCATTGCTGGTTGGATACGTCTCCTTTGAATGTGCCAATGACGCATGGCTTGCACGTCTCGTCTCGCCAGGTATAACTGCAGTCAGACAATCAAGCCGTGGGAGCTACAATTAAGACGGTGGACAGTCTATTCTATTGTGTAGTACCCCTCGTCACATAGACACTCGTCGAGTGTCCTGGCTCCCGTGCCCACGGTGTTGAAGCCGATGGGACATGACTGGGGCTGGCCACCTAGAAATACCATCTTCATGCATCCATCCCACCTCTATGTTGTTGCCTATAAATTTGCCGATCTCACCAACAGTCGGACAGTATTTGCCTTGCTCGCACGGCTGGCATGCTCCATCTAGCAGTGCGTAGCCAATCTCGCACACACAGTTGGCCTCGGCTGTCATCCCAGTGGCATTCGTCGTCCTCCCGCCGCCGCACTGCCAGAAAGCAATCCAAGTCAGACTTTTCAATCCCTTCTGCTGTCTGCCGTACGTCGGTGCATGTGTTGTCTGAAATGCTGTCCTTGTACTTGCCGATAGGGCTGAGACATGCCCCAAAGACAGGGAAGGTAAGCAAAAATGTCGTGCCATGACAAGGTGCGTACCAAGCTTTGCATGCGCCTGAGACATCCGGTTCAAATCCATATGTGCATAGACAGTCCGCCTGGAAAGCCTTGCCAGCCTCAGTTGTGGTTGATTGGGCTCGCTGCACGGAGAAAGGCACACAGTTAGCGAGCGAGTAACAAGACTTCTCTCCTGCCTTTTTTCTCATCGCTGTGACATTACCACGGCCGAGCACGCGCTGCAGCTGATGAGCAGTGTATTGCCTCTCGGCGCATATTGGCCTTGTGGGCAGGCCTTGCAAGTGTCGGTGGTCGTATCGTAGTAGTTGCCCCTTCACAAAGACATGCATATCCACACGCATCGACAGGGAGCAGGGACAGACTGGCTCTCTGCCCATGTCTCCATCGCTTACTGTAGGCAATAGACGCCAAATGTCACATCGAATGACGTGGTGGCCGCCACATTGTGAGCGTAAATCCTGTATGAGCCTTCGGCAGTCGCAATGTTTGGTGTGCCCTCCAAGGCTCCAGTAGCGGCGTTGACAGACAGACTGCCAACAAAGGGGTATGCAGAATTGAGGACCTATCCCTGGCTGTCGTTCCTCGCTTACGAGCTTGGCAGGGTGCCACTTGTAAAGCAGTCAACTTTGTCAAAGCCCGCTACGAGAGTTGCAGGATAGCTGCGGAGCGTTCCATCGATCTCGATCAGTGTCTGGACAACAGAAGGACAGGCAGCTCAACGTGTTTGAAAGATAAGCAATTTCTCTTTAACGTACTGGGACGGTGTATGAGAATTGCACGGGCTTGATCGCCTCATAGACAGAGGACATACCCAGATTGTACTCTTGAGAATACTTATTGTCCTGGACAACACACAAGGGGGAAACGGTCACCGCGTCTCACTCATGAGCCGTGCATCACACCTTTTCTGTGCTGAAGTACAGCCATCCAGATGTTGTGGTGAGATTACAGGGATTGACGCTCAGTCGCCGGGCAGGATTGATGGGGCTGCCGTCCAAGTTGCGATGAGCCGGTGGTGGCTCGTATTCGATGGCTTCATCCTCATCCTCTCCCTCAGCTTTGAGTCGTCTGCGTGTCTCTGTCTGAGGTACCTTAGTTAGTAGCCCCCTGGTACACAGAAAAAAGTTGTTACGGAATGCGTTCGTGTTGCAAGACTTACCTGATAGCATTCGCATCGGAAACAGTGACCTCTGTCAAGAAGGTCACGCTGGAGTCGGTCGACAGCTTGCTGAGACATGCCAGCGCCATAGAATTGATAATACCTGTAGTCTTTTCCAACGCAACGGCTCCCTCCTTACCGGACGTCTAGGACGACGAGGCGATTGTTGTCGAGTTCGCCCACGACCACAAGCCCGTCGTAGTAGCTGACAGCATTGGGATTTGCCAGTCCTTCGTCTGACTTCTTCGCGACTCCAGTCACACCAAACTGCGCCGAGAAAGATGCGCATGGCGTGCCGGTCATAATCATTCTCTCGTCCATGCGCTTAGCTTACTTGGGCTCAGAAGGTCAGACAGGTGTTGGCATTCCATGGATCGGCGACCTCCAATATCATAAGCCGATGATTCAGCTGATCCGCGACAAAGAGGTATTTGCCATTCAGGATTGTGACGCCTCCCGTGTCCTCGCCGTACCTAAAAATCGAAGAAAGCTACTTCATGCTGCTCTCTCAAAGTGTTATCGTCAGTCTTACGCGATGCCGGCTGGAGAATAAAGTCCGGTCGTTTCGCGGAGGAATTTAAAGGTTTCACCAAAGTGACACTGAAGAAAGGAGAGGTGTGGCGAACACGAGAATTGAGGCAGATCGTGGAAGTCGTTGCGAAACAGAAAAAAGCACACCTGGTACTCGAAGACAGCTGGCGCAGCGTCACCGTTGACCTTCAGCACTACGATTCGGTGGTTGCCCTGGCACGAAAGCGACAATAGGGCAGAAGAGGAGATGTTGCTTTGCATATTCGCCTACCGAGTCGCTGACAAAGACATAATTGTTGCGCCCATTACAGCATGGGCAAGGGCAGATGGTCTGTAAAAGTTGTTGTTGTCGTGCGGGGGGTTTGCCAAAGACGAGCCGAAGATCAGTGTCAGCGGCCCCAGTGATTGTCCGGGTGCAGGAGCTGACCACCAGTAGAGCTTGATAATGCGATGCTCATCCAAGAGGAACAGGCGGTCAGGGGGAGTCAAGCCTGGATGCATGTCCTTGACGACAAGGGAAGCTGACGGCTTACTCAGTGTAAGACTCTGATCGGAGAGACACACGGAGAAGGAGAAAGACTAAAATGTGTCTTGACCCATTGTTGAGCCAGAGCGTGTGCAGATGTTTACGCCGAACTCAAAGGTGTACTCCTTCTCCATCATATCATTGTTGGTGACTTTGATCTTCTGGAGCTTGCCTGTGCCCGCAGTCTCATCAACTTGGACGAAGAGGAGAAACTCCTCGCCATTGTCAGTCACCGCGACGGGATTCTTGAGCGGAAGGGCCTCCTCCACAAGATCGTCCACAGAAAAGGTCTTCTTGTCCTGCACTTAAAGGCCCACAGAGGCGAGATGCTGCGCTTCCTCTGTCCAGTCTGCACGCTGACCTCGATTTTGATAACTCCAACTTCCAAACGGCTGCCGATTCCTTCTCTGTAACACACCTTGTACTCACCGATGGTGTTCATTAGCACATTCCTGTACACAAGCACGGTGCTTTGGCTGGTGCTGGGAGATTCTGGGGCGACTTGAACGGCATTAGCCTGCGATCCCGAAGAGCACTGAGCGCTTTCATCGATGATCAGCAGCCTCGGGTTGGTCTTGGTGTTCAGCGCTAAACCCTTTAGCCGGATATCAAAGCTTCTATCCTTGATGCCGCTGAATTTCTGATTGAGAGTAGGGCCAGTGACGGTAAGGTTGCCGACGTCAATCGTATACCTGCACAGGGGCCCACTCTGGAAGCCTCGCCTGTTTTGGTCACGAGTCCGTACCATTCTGAAAGGTCCTGTCCTGCGGCGAGTTCAGCATCCGTCTGCAGCTCTCCGTTCCACCAGCACACCTTGTATGTGCCCGCGACAGAGAACTGGTAATTCGAATACGTCGCCTTTTGACCGCCACCTATATGTCTCAGTCAGCAAAGAAACAGATATCGGACGTTCTTGCCGATCAGACGCCTCGCTCTGTTGACGTGTTCACTTGTGATGCTGGGAACTGCATCTGATGACGTGACGGAGCCAGTCAAGTCTGACGCAGTAGGATCAGATGAGTGGATCTGCCCGCAATTCCCAGTACTGTCGATGACCTGAGAGAGGACAATAGGCGTTTTCCCTTGCCTAATCGTATCCATGTTCCAGCGGATCCTCACCTTGATGCGGCTTGTGTTGGTCAAGTAGAGCCCCTCCACTTCGATTGAGAACGTTGTTGTCGTGACACCATTCTGGTTCTGAGCCCCCGTATTTGGCCCGGCAATCTGCAAGACATGAGACGCACAACGGTTCTGCTCCCCTTGTCGCTGCTGGCATGTGCATCTCACTCTGAGTGTCCCAGCGGACAGAGCGAAAGTGCATGAATTTTGGGCGCTCTTGATTGAGTCGCACCAACACATTTCAGAAGTGCTCGGTGCGGTGTAGATGATTGCGCGTTCCTCAACATAGTCGCCATTGTCGATGGCCTCGATGGACATCGCCTGGCTGAGTGTCTGAGCAATGTCAGGGACGACAAAATCCTGAGTGCCGTCACCGTTGGCTGTCGCGTCCCCCGACAGGCTGTTCTCCACCACCGAGTGTCCAAATCCAGAGGGTGGGTAAGCTCCCGTGCATGCATTGCCCTGAAGGAGACACAGAGATATCGAAGCCGAGAAAATGCCGGGTACTGTCCAAATCCATTGCCTACGGTTGGTGACTCTCTGATAAGCAGTCGATCCCCGGCGACGAGTCCTGCGCCGTCCAGGCTCCTCACTCTGCACCTTGCCCCGCGAAAACAGGAAAGGACCTGGTTTGTCGTGGGTCCAGCGACCGTCAGAGTGCCTGCATCGAGTTTGAAGTTCGCCTCGACAGAGCAGTCCACAGAGAGGGCAGAGGAGCAGTAGCACATCCCATATACACCAGCATCGGCGTTGATGGTGTCTGCTGGCTCTGCACAAAACGATGCACAGCAGAAGGCAGGGATGCAAACAAAATGCAAATAGGATGCACAGAGCCATCCATTGTCCAACATACCTGTGCCGAATTGGAACTCCAGCACCCCGTCACCGTTCAGCTCGCCAGGCTCTGTCTTGCCCGTAGCTGAAAGGTTTGGGACCACGGGATTGCCCGTGTCGCAGCTGCCAGGCGTGGTGCGAATCTGATGCGAACACAAAATGGAGAAAAGGTCACAATTTGTGACCTTTTCGAATCTGATGGGATCACAAAACCCACGATGATCTGGTCCCCCGCTTGAAGGCCTTGTCCTGTCAGTCCCGCAATTATGCATTTGTCACCCTGAAAAATGGATGACACGAACGAAAGCAGAAGGGGATTCATATGTGTGTCTTCATTTCTCCTAGCACACACCTTGTAGCACGTGATGCTCTGTCCTTCCGTCGGGCCAACGACCGACAGTGTGCCCACATCGACAGTGAAGCCGCTCGCGTTGTCGCAAGGGTACGAAGGCTTGTCACACCAGCAGATGCTGTACTGCCCGGCGTCAGCAGTAATGATCTCAGTTCCGAAGCCAAAGCTATATTCCTGAGAGCCCCTGCCCCCGGTGCCAGCTGTGTACACAGCAGCATTAGACAGCGAGTCTGCGTAGCTGCCGTCCGACCCTGGACACACGCAGAGACAAGGAATGCTGGGCTCCCGACTTCAAAAAAAAAAAAAACACACACACACACACAGAAAACTTTGCTGACCTGGAAATCCCGAAGCATCAGTGGTGCCGCATTGGCCCAGCGGCATGATTCGCATCAGGTCGTTGCCATCGAGATTGTCTCCTTCGATTGGCCCGACAGTGCACACTTGGCGTTTGACACATGACACGTCCTGATTGGCGTCTGGCCCTCCGATGCTGAAGGTCGTCCCAATTTTGTTGAATGCATAGCCCCACACACTGGAGACACCGCTGTAACACATAGCGTACCTGAAGCACATTTGAAGGCCTGAGACCTTCTCGCCTATTCCTCGTCTGTTTTTCTGTCGCTGCCTTACGTGCCCGACGAGAATTGGAAAACGAAAGAGCTCGTCTCTGTGTTTCCGTTCTGAGTGACAGGGTAGCCTCGCGCTTGAGCATCACTCACTGTCAAGTTCCCGCAAAACGATCCCTGAGCTGCACACGGAGGCATAATAAGCCGTCAGCCGCAAAGCCAGCCAACACGCCTTCGTCGCGTACTGATTGTGGAGTCGAGGAAAGGGAAGAGCACTGCCGTGGTGTCCCCACTGCCCGATGAGACCACGACCTTGACGCTCTTGCCTCGAAGCACAGTAGCAGGCGGTGTGAGCTGCAGCGGCGTTGATTCAACATCCCATAAACTGTAATCAGGCGCTGTGGCTTGAATATCCATCTCTATTCGACGCACGAGCGCAAAAGGACCATGTCTTGGCTGCCAAAGCTCGTCCCTGCAGCTTACCATCCTCTGTCTCTAGGCTGACTTCTATGGGTGTGCTGAAAGAGCGTTCCCAGTAGCAAACTTTTGGGTTGGTTAGTGACGACACTTGAAGGGAGCCTTCGCTGATTCCCTTTCGCCCGTCTGAATCGAGAAATTGAGTGACCCTTAGAAGCGAAATTTTTTTCCTATGCTCAGGGTCTCACCGCAAACTCAGAGAAAGGAATGGTCGTCAAGGACGTGTAGAATCTGCCGATATATACAGAGAAGGCATCCCTAGCTCTGCACGGCATCATCTCCCCCCCTTCTTACTTGCTGCTGCACTGCGAAGCGGCGCTGAATGTGGCCTAAAAAAGACCACCCGAAGGAACAGGACATCTTTCAGCCAGGTCTATTAGCTCGTGACGATTGTGCAAGTAAGAGACCTTGACATTGAAAACCTCGAAGTTTTCAGATATGCCGAGCATGACGTACGCATTTTGCCAATCCATTTCGGAAAGGGCTTAAACACGGGTTTCGAGCCAGAGACTGATATTGGCTGACCTGATTGATGCAGACCGTGGCAGTCCAAGGAATATTGCCATTACAATGTATTGCCATTGCGCGTCATATCCAATCGGCTTACCCACGTGGAGGTCTGGGTATACGAAGTTGATGTTGGCGAGCTTGAAGTAACACCAAACGAAGACAGTGGATACGGATGAGAAGGTTGTAAAGGGAACGCCGAGGGAAGTGATCTCGTTCGTTCCTGCAACACAGATCGCTTATGTGTGCCAGCGGTATCTTCGTGCCCGCTGTCCGACCTGTATCGACAGCTCTTCGTGTCTCGCCAGTGCCGAGAATCTCCGTGATGCCGGTCTCGTCGGTGATAATCGTACCAGTCTGACAGCAGAAGCAGATTCCGTCTCCAAGTGGTGTGCACCCGTTGGTGTCTTCTTCCTTCTTCACCTACCACTTTATCCATTGTGCTGGAAACCAGCGAGACATACAATGCATGCCACAGATGAGATGACACTGAGAAAGAGCAGGGCAATATGTCTCGTCGCTTACGCATAGTTGTCTGTGGTTCCCGTCGGGCAAGCAGCTGGAAGCCAGTGAGACAAACAATGAGATGCCGCGGATGAAATGGCACATTTTTGTCGTCTCGCTTACTTCGCACGCTCCTGACCCTCTCTTGCACGTCCTCGTCGTCCATCGCATTGCCAAACATGTCCTCTGAATCCGAGAAAAAAGGACAAAATCACGGCTTGTTAATCGCATTTGTCCCTTTCTTCTCACTCACTTGCAACTGCGTACGCCATTTGTGTGGTTGCTGGGGTGAGCCCTGAGAAGGTGATTGTGTGCTCGTGCTCGGTGCCTGAAAAGTCAGACCGTGTCGCCTGCGTGCCATTCGCCTCGACACTTGACGCATCAGGCGGGTCTGCCTCCTCGTCTGTTAGAATGAACCAGACGGTCGCAAACTCTTCCTTCAGTGTCCTGATGGTTAGCGTAAGCGACGTCTGTGCCGCTATCACTCCTATCTCCTGAAGTAAAACAGAAGGCAGCATCAAGCAGGACACAACGTTGGACATCATTTTGCGCGGATGTATGTCGCCACCGATGTGAACTCTGGAGCGACAGTGTCGTTGCCCGATGACAGGCTGAAGATTGTGCGTAAAGATGTTCTGCCCGCGTTGCCAACTGAGCCAGACGTGGCATTGTCCAGATGCCACCCAGAGATTGTCACAAGCTCTGAAAATACGAGATAGGGAATGTATAGAAACATGGAAGGATGCATCCTTTCATCTGACCCGCAAAGCACACCAGCGAAAGACTAGTTGCTGGTGTGATTGGTGAGGCATTCATGAGCGTCTCATTGTCAGCGTAGGCAGTGAAAGTCTTTGATGGCGATATCAGCAAGCTCGTGTTGGCATCAGGTTCGTCGTCAAGCCAAAACTCGTGTGAGGCGCCGGCGCCCGGGACATACATCATGCTGATTGCATTGCTGACGTCTGGACCCGTAACTGCTTCGGCGTAGTTGTTGCTATCGTTGAGGAACATAATGCAATTGACCACCAGTCCCGGAAAGGGGACGCTGAGCTCTACAGACACCTCTTCTTCCGCTGCTTCAATGACGGACAGAGTGATACTTGGAAAGACAGGCGCTGTGGGCTTCGTGACAGTCTGCATGCTGTTATTGACTTGCGCAAAAGGCGTGATTCCTCCACTATCCGACCGACCAATGCAGTAGACTGCAAGGGCAAAATATGGAGACATGTTTCTGTGACGATGTCTCTTCTTACCATCCCAGTCAGCGATCGTTCCATCCATGTTGAGGTCATCAAGCCCAATGTATAGAGACACCGATGTATTGACATGGTCGTTGTCGATGTCCGCCTGTCCCACATTTTGCATTTCGTGCGGTGTGCCGAAAGACATGTCGACAAAATGTGACGTGTATATGCCGGGATCGTAGGGCGGCTGGTCAGGATCAAACGAAGCGAAATCGACAGAGCCCGGAGGGTCAGCCCGACATACTACTGCGCCCTCCTTTGTCGCCGTGATATTGATCTCAAGGTAGTTGTAGTAGGCCTCATGCTCGCCGAAAGAAAGCACGGGGGGATCTGCGATGCTGGCTGCTACCATCAGCTTGTACTTGGGGGGATCAGATGCGTCGCTTGCAATGTCTGCCGCTGAGATCCAGTTCCACGCTTCATCTCTCGCTGTGCACCACATCTCGTACATGCGACCCGGCTGAAAATGGAAGTAGTAGTACTGACCCTCATCCCCCACCTCAATGGTCGTCCATGTGTTGGCAGCAATATAGTGTACATCGAAGCCGCCAATCCATGGACTCATCCTTGAAAAACAAATAGCAGGGAGTGTGACGGCAGACAACTGAATCCGTGTCTACCAGTAATTCCAGTCCTGCAGCTCTTGGATGGCCGCCTGGTCCACTACGTTCATGTCTTCAGCAAAGCCTGAAGGAGCAGAGAGAAATGCTACATTTCCTTCCACCTCATGGACGTCCGTGGCATCACTTGCCGCAGATCATTCCGCCCGTCTCATCTAGCCGCACAGTGAACTCCAGCGATCTGCTTGTCGTGATAGGGTCGTGCGATTCGGGTGGGTCCTCGGGCCCGTATGTTTCCCCCGGCTGAGCGATGAAAAAGTTAGACGGAGGTGTCGAATCGGGGGGATTGCTTCTAACAGGACTGAACCCCTGGACAAACTGGTATATCTCTGTCTCGCCCCACTCGCGGTCATAAAAGTCGATTGCACAACACATGACCTGAACAAAGGGAGCAGAGGATATAATACCGTAAGGTTTTCGCCCATGACCTATGTACCATATTGTCCGCGTCGGTTCCGTATGCAGGCATGGACAGTGTTCGATTCTGCAATGGATCCTTGGCCAGGTTGTAAGAATAGTGGGACTCAATAATGCTGCCGAAGCTGGATGTGTGCGGAGTGAATGTCATATCATCACATCCTGTCGGACGAGCCACTATGCTATCTGCATAGTCCCCGCCAGGCTCCTCTGCCGCCGCGTCGTAAGAAAAGCAACGCACCTGCCCTTTTGTATTGAGAAGGAGACCAATCAAGAGACAGCAATAAACGAGACGCGTGGCATGAAAGCGATGCGGCTTCCCTTGGCCATTTTACTCGCAGGACGATCAATCGTGACAGTAATCGTGATGTTAGTTCCAACAGGACGGGCCTCGAGAACATCGATCTGGACGAATCCTGTTGGCTCACCAACGGCCTGGGTCTCACAGACACTGCTCTTGCTGTAGTTGCCCAGGTTGCCAGACGGATCGTCTGTGAGCAATCAAAAACAGGTCACCCAGACAGGAGACAGCAGACATCGTTCTTCCCTTGCAATACTCACCCGCCACACAATAAAGGTAATAGGAATTCCGGAATTCCGGAGCAATATCGACCACAGATCTGATGAGAAGTGTGCGAAGATCTCATGAGAAGTGTGCGAATGCCACTTCATGTCAGAGCAGCTGTGTGTCTAACCTTTCATAGATGGTGCCATTGAAGTTCATGTCGATGAAGAAGGCGTTGAATGTCGTATCTCGGATGACTTGAGACGACTGCGGCTCCGGTTCAAGCGTGCTCAGTGCCTTGCAGAAGACATTTCATTGCTCATTCACTGTGAAGCGGACTATGCACTGAGTGTCCAGCCCGAAAACCGACGAGTACGTCAACGTTGGAGCCGTGATGTCTGACCGATGGAATATCGTCAAAGAAGATCCGGAGGGATGGCGCGTTTCTTCTTTGACTCACCGCAATCGCCGTCGTCCCAATTGCAGTCAGCCGTCCTGCACTCCTGCTGGCAGGCCCCGTCCCCTCGCTGGCTCGCCATACAGGCGCCACCATTGCAATCTGCCCAAACGATAGCACGAAGCCAATGACCTGTCCCATATGCGAAAATAGCCTTCAGTACCTTCCTTGATGACACACTCTGCTAACACAGCTGCGCCGGGTACCGTCGCTGGCAAACAAAAGGACAAGACCAAAGGCGACAGCTTATTTACAGCCTCATTTTCATTACTTGGTTCTGTGGCGGGTATTGTTATCTCCTCGTCAAACACTCCTCCGCTGTCAAATCTTGTGCCGTCGGTATCATCTGTGTCGCCATATGTCCGAAACCACTGAAAAAGCGGAAAATGAATAATGAACAACCATATCTGACACACGGCTTCTGTCTTCGCTTGCCTTGCAATCGTAGAAAGCCATCTGAAGGATGCCACCATTCCAGCCGTCTCTGCAACGGACAGGGAGAGAAAATGAGGGTAAACAAAACGTACAGAAGCGCTATACATCGAACCCATATGAGTCCTTAAGTCTCAGGGTGTAGGTGCCTGGAGGAATACAGCAGACGTCCCATTGGGTCCCAGAAGCTCTGTCCAACAAGACAGATTCCGGACCTCACAAGGCAGAGTCAGTTTCTTGCCGTACGATTGGTAGGAGTTTGGCTCTCTGTAGCAGTTGGTATCCATCAGCTCCCAGCCGATCTCAGTGGGAAAGGAATCCAGTTGCTTCATACGGATGTATCCGCAGACTGCAAACAGTGACAGTTACGTAGAGACATAAGAAAAGAAGAACGAATGTTATTGTCAGCTTCCTACATCCAGTCTTGACTGTTCTTCGCGTAAGTCGCACTCGCTCAGTAGTCATCGCATTGCCATCTTCGTCTTCTGAAAAGCCGCCAACCGCTGCTTTCACCGGTGCACGTGAAGCCTTGTCAGCTCACCGGCGTAGCAGAATGCGTGGTAAGCTGTATTTTCCTTCAAAGAACGGAAGCCGTACGTCGTGTTGGGCCCGCTGACCGCCGTGACGGTCCAGTATTCGTCGATGATGTAATCGAGCGAGAGCTTCGGCTGGCTGAAGTACAGCCCAGCATACGGGACCACAGTGCTTCCCGTGGCTGCTGTTGTCGCGGCTGTTCCGGTCGTTGTTGCTGTTGCTGTTGCTTCATCGACGGATGCAGGAGGAGTATTGAGCTTCCATTGAGCGAGCTGGGTGGTGAGACTGGGAAAGTCCACGACGGCCTGGTCCTTCAAAAGACACCACACTGTGGCAAGGAGGTGCAAGATACGAATGTCAAGAAATTGAGATGAAGTGCGACTTTGCGCACCGTATGAAGGCTCCGAAGGCTGGACCTTCAACGTAATAGCACTGCTGACTCCCTCAAAAGACAAGATTTCAGCTCGCGGCGGTTGCGAATCTGCACTCATGGAGACACAGCAGGTACAGCGATTACGATGCGTCTGTCATTCTGTACCCGATGTAAGATTGAGTGTGCCGATATTGACGTTGTAATTGGCGGGGTCTCGGCAACGAGCACTGGTATCCGTCTCACCTTGACACCAGCAGACGTCATAAACCCCGGCACTGCATGAGATACAGAACGCAGGGAGGAGATCATCCTTCCGTGTTTGCGTGAGATGCCTTCTTCTCTCTCACGTCTTGTAGATTAGGCCAAAGTCATGTATCTTGCCGTCGCAGTCGTAGAGATATCTACACATACCAAAGACATGTGTAGATAGTCTTGCGCGCCAATCACGTCTGCTTCCTTGGCCCCCACATACGCCGGGTTGCGCTCGACACGATCGAGGTAGGAGCCGCAGAGCCCCGGCAGGGCAAGTGCCACCCTGTCAGCGCTGTAGAGGCTCGTCCCTTGCAGTGGTTCGTCTTCCTCTCCGATGAGGCAGCGAGCTCCACGCTCACATGTCCACTCGTGGTCGCCCTTGATTGGACCTAAAAGGCGGACATAGTCAGAGAGATGGAGGCCATGTGTACTGATTGGCGAACCTGATATTTGTGAAGTACGGACGAGACACTTGATGTTTTGGTTATCGTCATAGTTGCTGTGCGTAATATTGAGCATCGCTGTGGCCACAGTAGTCGTGCCCTCGTCTGCAATCGTGGTCACGTATGGGGCCAGACCAGTGATCCTGCAGATACGAAAAGGTGAACAAAAGAGCGCTCTCGGACATATGCTTTCGCCATCTCACAGGATGTCATCGACGAATACCACGTCCCGCCCCGATCTCGAAAAGTCGTTCTTTGAGTACGTCCACTCAAAAACCGTTGGCTGTGACACAGGTGCGTTTAAAAAAGAGTGGTGTCGTTCGTGGGGCATCGACCATTGCTGACTTACTATGACAGTTGGGAAGAATTGAAAGAAAACGGGCTGCCACTGCCAGTACCCTTCAGCCCTTGATAGGCGCAGTCAAACACAGGCATGGATACTAGTGGTAAGAAGACGAACGCATGTGCATACCTAAAGTACTCCATGCCGTCGATAGTGAATACGAAGATATCCTGGAACTCTGAATGAGAAAAACGACGGAGGAAAAAGGAGTGCCGAGGGAAGAGCAGTCAGCAACAGAACAGTTGCCAGCGTTTGATAAGTTCTCTCGTCGTTTCGCGTCGTACCGGTGTCCACGTGGATGCGGAAGCTGACTTGCTGCTCACCACCAAGCTTCAGTGTCTTGACGATTTTCATCGTCACGTTGGCATTGTCCTCTGGGTCGCCGGACCCCTCCTGGCCGGAACGTAGGGCCAAGTTGGTCGAGTCGTGTGCTGATGAGACACCCATGAAAAGCGTCAGTGCGAGAACAGGTGGCAATGAGTCCTTGTAACTCTTTCTCTGCTTACGGTCGGTGGCGACTTGCCATCCCTCGGCTGACTGAACCTCTTCATATTGGAATGGCGGCAGGAGGCCGTCTTCCATGTCGAATGAGAAGTCATTGGACGATGAGCCGTCGTCGCCTGCACTGTCCAGCACGAGGCCCTCAAACTTGATGTTGTCGATGTAGGCGATGTCCTCACACTTGCTGATGGACGAGTCCTTCCGGAACACCCACGTGAATGTATAGAAATCGTTCTTGTTGTTCTGTACACGTCGGCACGACACACGCACCCCCCGGAATGGCGACGCATCTCTCCTTTTCTGTCTTTACCTCATCGAACCACAAGTAGTGCTCGACAGTGATCCTGATATGATATGGACACATTCATTCATTCATCCATTCACTCACCTGTGTGTCCCCCTCTCCCCCCGGCCCATCACCGTCGAGCACTATCCATACCACTGGTTCTGCGCAACCGCGTTCCATTGCTGACAGGTGTTGACACCGTCCTGCACATCTGGAGGGACGCTGACGGAGGGGCAGCCTGAGGCTGGGATGCGATAGCCGGTGCCGCAGATGTTGAGCTTCACTTCCTTGCCTGAACGGTACAAAAGGAAGTGAGTCATTTTCTGTCTGGTTGGCTTAGACTCACCATTGACATAGAACTCAAGCATGTCGTAGTCATATCTGCACAGAGAGAAAACACATTCCAAACATCACGGCCGCCCGTGATTCTCTTTGGCGTACTCGGTGGCGACACTCAAGTCAAACGACACCTTCCGTTGCTCCGAAAAGGTCCCAGGGTAGTCAGTGAAGTTGAACCGCTTGTTTTGCAGCTCAATAGTAAGTACGCCCCGGTCCCGCGGCTCATTGAAGACCGGGGCGGGGCTCATGTACGGTTCGTCTGCTCGCCCAGCACGAAGGCACGCACCGGGATTCATCGAATCTATCCATGGGCACGCCGTGTTGTCCTCTGTCATGAGCTGCCATCCCTGCCCACTGTTCTCCGTCGTGGTGGTGAAGGAAGCAAACTGGACGGATTGGTCCGTGTCGAAGTCGATGATGGTCTCAGCGCAAGACGCTGGGACCGTGCAGGAGGAAGCGGCACCCAGAGGAACCAGAGGAACAAGAGCAAACACCCAATACACAGCCAACAGCACCAGGCTGTGCCCCGCAGGCAGTCGGCTCTTCTGCTTGGTGCGGTTGCTCAACGGCGTGTTCAGGCTGAGGGGATGCATCAGAGGACCTGTTGTGGCTTCTGGAACGAGTCGAAGGCCCCTGCACGCTCTTTTGCACGACGCTGGTGCGCATCTGCTGTGGGGGCAGGGTGGGGGAGCGGTGGTTGGCCAAGTGTGTTCTGGCCCGGGGCTGCGTCCTCGCCGCTGCACGCGCGAGCAACCCAAGAGAAGCAATGCCATGCAATAAAACAGCGATTTAAACTCCATGGACGCGTTACACACATGCAGCGTCTTGTCCCAAGTCGTCTGACTGTCACAAACAACGAAGGCGACATCCCTCGGGCCAGTCCCCCGACCAAGCATCAGTCGTAGTATTTGTTGGACCAGTAAGACTCGTCGAAGTGATGAAGACGAACATAACCCTCCTCACCACCTGGTCACAGACATGCATCCACACAGATACATCATCGCTGCATCTCAGCGAACGCACGTCATGTCCGTCCTGTCGGGCGCACCTGATGCGTATCCGTCTCCGCCGGGCATGAATGCGATGGTGTTGATGGGCCCGAAGTGGCCCTTGACGGACCCCAGCTCCTCGGCAAACACCATGTGGTACAGCAGCGCCTGAAACTTGCCCTCTCCGGCTGCCGTGGTCGTCACCTCCTCGGCCGACTGACCGCCGCCCAACAGAATGTGATACCTGCACACAGACAGACGCAGAGGTGAACAAGACAGGCCGTGATGAATGGGATGGATGGATGGATGGATGATTGGGTGGGCTCGTATGTTGGGTACCTTTTGTTTTCTCGTGCGTTGTATCTTGGTGAGATGGAGCAGGCGTTGAGGCCTCTGTCGGTCTTGTACTCCTTGACGCATTTCTTGTTGAGCAGGTCCCAGAGCTTCGCGGACGCGTCCTTGCACGCCTGAGGCAAACGTGACAGCACACCCACACACGTGCACATAAATCGCGTGTCGCCTCTTCGTTCCCTGGGAAGTACCGTCAGGCACAAATAGCGGTCTTCACTGAGGCACATGGAGGGAATGCTCCTGGCAGACACAGCGACACATCAGTCTAAGGCTTGTCGCTGCGATATTCATCCCTCCCTCAGCTTACGCATCGTGTGCTTGGATCTCCCACACAGGGGTGCCTGTAAAGACGTCCCATACCTGCAGACAGCAAAGACACATTCACGAGCGATGAGTCAGCTCAATCACCCTCTTGTTGATCTCGTTCCTTCGCTGACCACAAGCAGTCCGTCCTCGTGCGAGCTGACGAGGGTCTCATCGTAGGCACCCCAGTGAACCTGAAACACACAGACACAAGCCCAAGTCCGGCTCTCAGATGAGACACCCCATCCACGCACCCCACACTCACGGTGGTGGTCTTGGAGGGGAGGTCTGTGATCTCAAGGATACGTGTGGATTTGGGCCCGGCACCGTCCTCATCGTCCCTGTCATCATCAGCTGACGAGCCCACCTTCCATATGCTGATGGCGGCAGGTCCCTTGGCCTCGCTGAACCTGTCGCGGGCGACGACCACCTTGTTCTGGTCGTTTGGTTTGCGGCACCACTGAACCCATCGGCAGGGACCTTTCTCCTTGATCTCCGCCAGCTGCTCGCCGGTCTCCATGTCAAACACCTTGCAGCACTCGTCTGCATGAGTTGGCAGACAGACAGGCGATGTGGGGATGGATGGTCTGGGCATAGGCAGTTGTGATCAGCGTACCTGCTCCAGCAGTGATGAGCCTCTTCGAGTCATAGGTGACGTCCAGACACCACACCACACCGTTGTGTCCGTCGTATGTGCCTGGAGTACACATGCGACGTGAGAAGAGCTGTCCGCCTTGAGCGAATCTGTCAGTTTCAGCCTCCTCACCTATCCTCTCGCCGTTGGATGAGTACCACACGTTGACCTTCTTGTCCTGACCGACACAACACACACGCACGGTGCACAGGAGGACACCCGCGAGTGACGCGCTGCGTCTGTGTTGCACACAAGCGTACCTTGCCGCAAGTGAACAGGAGATCTCCATCCCGGTTGAACATAACGTACGTCAGAGGGCGAGAGTGCCTGCAGACAGCAATGGATGTCCATGGGTCCTTCCTGCAGCGTGGATCTGCTTGGGCACTTACCCATTCAGCAGATACGGCCTCATGATGGCACAATGGCTTTGGCGTTGTATGCGCGCTCAAAGCCGATTTCCGTGAAACGGTGGGGCACGACCGTCAATTAGGTTCAACAGAGAGCTATCTCTTGTGGCATTGGTTTATGGCTTCTCAACGGCCCTTATCTCCGCTTTCCGAGCGGTCCCCTCAATCTGACGCAAGTGTGCAGCTGCCGACAGAGGTACCGATCCCATCCATCTTCCTAGAGCATGACTTCGATGCGCCGAAGGTAGCAAGCAAACACAGAGAGGATGAGGACATGCATCTGTGCAAGGCATGATTCTCTTTTGACCAGTGTCCCAACCCCTACATCATTTTGAACCTCCCCAACCCGACAAAGGAGAGGGCTATCGGTGATGATGAGGAAAAGCAGTGGAGCCTCCTGGAGATGGCCACTTCCTCGTACAGAGCTCAGATGAAGACTCTGGTGCCGCTGCAAGGCACCAGGGATGGTAGGGCCCTCATCGACAGGTTGCAGGTGAGGTGAGCTCTCATACATACATTTGAAACCTTCTCTCTTCCTGGATCTTCTGATTGGTTGTTTTGCCAGGGTGCCATTGCAGTGTTAGCCCACAGCTCATCCAGACAGCAATACGAGCGGAAGCTGAATCAGGGCATATCAAATGTGCGATACGGCTGCATTGTCCATGCTGACGGCTCCATGTACCAGGGGGGTATCAGCAAGGAGCAGGGAGGAGACAAAGCCAAGAAAGAGGGATATGGATACATGCTGTATACGAATGGCGACCGCTTTGAGGGCAGCTGGCTGGATGACCGCCGATACTTCGATGGGATTTACTTCTGGGCTTCTGGAGACAGATATGAGGGCCAGTGGAGGAACGATCAGAGACATGGCCGCGGGATCCAGTTCCTTGCCAACGGAGACCTCTATGAGGGGTGCACGCTTTTCACGAGCTCATCCATATGATGTCTCCTTTCTGCATGTGTCTGCATTGTCTTACTGATAGTCAGGTCCTTCAAAGAGGATGAAAGGCACGGAGAAGGCACCTACTCATGGATTGCCGGTGAGTGCTGAGCAAACACCTCACACACACACACACACACACACACACACGGATGTCATCTCAATTTATAGGCGACCAGTACACGGGCGAGTACGAAAATGGTCAGAGACACGGAAAGGTGAGGACATTTAGCAATCTGCGCGATTGCTTTCCATCCTGCTGTATGGTGGTATGCTTCCAGGGCAGCATGAAATTTGTCAACGGCGCAACATACGAGGCGAGGAAGAAGGCCCTCACACGAGAGGTCACTGACAGCCTCACTCAGTGTCTTGTCTGTTGCAGGGCCAGTGGGACAAGGGCCTGCCTGAGGTGAGAAAGCATAGACGCCGTCAGAATCCACTTTTCACTTGTTAGCCGATGTTCCCAGGGCGACGGAGAGCTGCAGTATGCCAATGGGGACATCTACTTCGGGGCATTTATGAATGGCAAGGCACATGGAGACGGCAAACTCCTATTCGCCAACGTAGGCACCGCACCGAGCACGCACGGCAAGACATCTGCATATGGTCGTGTTGTACTGAGCCACACAGGGAGACAATTTTGAGGGTCACTTCGCCGACGACACAAGGGAGGGCAACGGCACGTTGAGGTTGGAAAACAATGATTCGTATGAAGGGTACTTCTGGAGAGACGGTACGTTATGATAGCTCGTAATCAGCTATACAGGGTCAGGGACGTACGAATCATTATTTTTCAACCTCAACTCATAGTTTTCCACGGCGAGGGGACGTACAAATGGGCCAACGGGGCCTGCTATCGAGGAGAGGTAGGCCTTAGGAAGGAGTCATGATAGCCGCTTTGGCAACGCTTCTGTTTGGCTCCTCTCGTGTCTGGTTGCAGTGGGTGAATGGCCACCGTCACGGTATCGGTCTCTTTGCTCGCCCTGTGCTGTGGAACGGACAAGGCAGTAAGCAACTCCACTAGAGCGCATCAATCCGTCCCTGACAGCATGTGTGTCTCGGCGTTTGTGACATACACAGGTCGCTGCAAGTACCAGGGCAGCTGGAGCGGCGGCAAGAAGGAGGGCCACGCGGTGTACATATTTCCATCGAAGAGCAAATACATTGGGGAGTTCCACAACGACTACAAAGTGGGTCAATACGGAGATAGATAGATAGATAGATAGATAGATAGACAGACGGGACACGTCATTCTATGTCTCTCTTGTCAACTGCAGCACGGGAAGGGCGAATACGTTTGGTACTGGCGAAACCAATCGGCCGCGCATTTTTGGCCATGTCAAATGTGCATTGCAGGCCAACCGGCGAGGTGCTGAAGGGCACATTCGAGAATGACGTCAGGCACGGAAGAGGTAAATGAATGAAAAAGGCCTGAGCAGCTGTCTTTCCGTCCGCATTTGGTGTGCTCTGCTGTGTCATGCAGCGACCTACACTACGGCCGATGGGGAGGAGATCAATCAGCGATACTACAACGGTCAGAGAGTGAATGCACGGCGTCGTCTCAGCATCCGTCCGTCCATGCCTGGTGTCATTCATGCAGGTGTGCTGATCGAGCAGGGTGGCGAGCTGTACGTGCGTGAAGTGATGCTGCCGCCGCCAATTAACACAGAGCAGGAGAATCCACCGGTGAGGGAAGCAAGACATTCAACAAAGTTTGCATGGATGATCGTGAGTGTGCAGGTACAGAAGGGTCGGTCCAGCTTTGTGCGTGGGATGGCGGCGGCTCCTGACCCGCGGATGCTGAAACCACCGACCGGATCAAGGAAGAGCAAAAGCAAGAAAAGACAGTAGACATGCTCGTAAAGTAGTGGACCCAGACTATGGATGCAGGCAGGCAGAGAGCTGGCGAAAGCATGACGCGTGGCAGGCTTTGTCTGTGCCTGCCCGGCCCTGCCGTAGTCTGTTCGTCAGCGCACATCATCTGTTACTCCAACGCGGTCAGCACAAACGACTGCTTCGCCCAGCTGATCACCGAGGACCAGCCCATCTGCTGCAGCGCCGTCATTCCTAGCACGTTGACCTCCGCGAGGTGGCCATACGACCGCGAAAAATGCACATCGGCAGTTTCTTCAATTCGCACTAACATGCTTCGCATGCAGCATGCTGCCGTCGGGGTACTTGCCGCGCCAAGCTCCTTCATGGTCTTCTCGAGGGGGGAGCCGCCTCAGAGAGGTACCCCACGCCGAAGTCGGCCATGGACGTCGCTTGAATGCCGTCCTCGGTCAGGTCAGTCAGCCACAGGTCCTCCTCGTGAGGCACAGGCCCAACGCCTTCCACCGGCATCGCAACAGGCAGTCCTGCCACACACACTCACACAACCAAAGTCAAGCTTCAGAAAGCCGACACTCCTCTCTGGGGAGCTGCGTGTGTCGTTTTGTCGCCGCAGCTACGTTTCATGCAATACCCTTGGTACCTTGCATAAGCTCCCGGGAAAGCTGGAGGCGAGATGTGACGGGATATCGATTGACTCGTCAGGATGGTGATGAACCACTACGAGCGACTCGGCATCTCAAAGGATGCCACGAAGAAGCAAATCAAGAAGGCCTGGCCTACCACAGCACAAGCAAGAAGGTACGCCACACCGTGCTGCCACATGGCCTGTGCAGTGGCCACTCCTTCCCCTCTGGCTGGCTTGGTGTTGCAGACACACCCTGACAAGGGCGGCACGAAAGAGGCCTTTCAGAAGGTGAACGAGGCATATGAGACCCTCTACGATGACAAGAAGCGCCGCCAATATGATCTCACACGTACGGAACACCCACATGACACTCTTCCACTCTGCCACTCTGCGTGTTGGGGGGTGTCCTGCATGTGCTGGTGTTCTCTCAGTTGCTGGTGGCGTCCGGAAGACCACAGCAAACAAGACGCCCAAGGGCACAGCCGCGCGCCGCACGAGCGCCAAACGCACGAGTGCCAGCAGCTCCCGACCCACCAACAATGAGGGCAACACCAAGATGGGCTTTGGCAAGCACTTCAGCCGCACATACGCATGGGTCGAACGGTACGCACGATAAGATGAAAACAGCGCCAGTCAAGGGGGATGGATGGGGCATTCGTGGCTCTCTGCATATGTGTATCGTTAAAACAGGAACGATCCTGGCTACATCGACTGGATTCTGCGCCAGAGCCGCGTGCGCAACGTCGCCTCTGACAGAGGGATCAACTTCAACAGGTTCTACAACTACTGCGAGCGCAAGTACGGGGCGGCGGCGGAACCGCCATACACCTACAGCTACTATCGTGGCCACCAAAACTACAGCGGCGACTTCCACGACGAGTACGACCATTGGGACGACTACATGTACTACCCGTGGTGAATCGGCTCCCGAACGGCTGTATGATTCGCTGCTGGGTGGGCGATGTATGTGGTATGGGTAAAGCTGTGTGGTGAGTGGTTAAGAGGGCGAGGGGCGATGGTTCCTTCAGGTGTTTGCCCTTGCAACATGGCTCAACAGTGGCTAAGGAGTTGAGGGGAGGGGTGGGAGGTAGGAGATGCGCGCAGAGTTGCGTGCTGATGTGGGTGACTATCTCTAATGGCCAGAATGCGTTTTTCACTGTCCTTGCGCTGCGGCCTCCCGGCCGGGCTGCCCGCCTGTCTGTCTGTCTGTCTGTATCATGCGAGTGGCTTTGTGTGTATGATGGATGTACGGTAGCACCGCACCGGCGATGGGTATGGGGGAGGTGAATCGGCTTCTGAGTGCCCGTCCTGTATTTATTGTCCGGTGGTGGGTGGCTGATACACATGTGGTATGTGTGGTATGGGGTGAGTGGTTGGCGAATGAGCGAGGGGCGATGGGTGGTGGGTAGGGGATAAGAAATGCGCGCAGCGTTGCGTGCAGGTGCGGGTGGGAGTGGTTATTTCTTCAGTGCCGTATGCAGCCGGCTGGCTGGCCGCCTTGTCTCTGTCTGTGTCTGTATCTGCGATTGTCCTGTATGGTAGAGGTGACTTTTCTGTTTTGCTTTCTCCTTTGTCCACTCACAGTTGGCAGGGATGGGTGAGAGACACCGAACGCACACGTCAACGGAGCCTCCGCTGACATGAAACATTCCAACCAGTGCAGCTTTTGCATGGCTCAGCTTATGAGGCTTAGGGCTTAGGGTTTGAGGCAAACCCTAAACCCAAAGCCTCAAAAGCGCAGAGCGACAGAACAGGAAAAGCGACTGACTGCAACAGCTTCATCATCGTCACGTCAACCCAATGGAAGCCGCTGCAGCACCCCCTTCCCCTCTCATCTCCCCGCCAGGACCTCTCCTTGCTGATGCCGACGACCTTGAGGTCAGATTTCTTTCGCTGGAGGTCGGTGCCATCGTTGAGGTGGATCCTGACGCCTTTGAAGGGAGAAAGGGCTCAGTGGCCGAGATCATCGGCGTGAGTCAGGACTGGACGTTTGTCGACTTTTGGCTGCTGCGGAAAGACGACTGGCAGCGCTTCAAGGACCCCAACCAAGGCATCAAGAGGTCACACACACACACACAGGAGTGCGTGACGTGATGCACGACCTGACTGTGGTCTGTGTGTGTCTGTGTTTGTTACTCAGAAACGTGTCGCGAGATGCAGTAAAACAAGTGCTTCGTGAAGCTCCAGACGATTCTTTGGCTGCCGAGCCCTCTCGCTCAACGGCATCAGCATCGGGCGTCCGCACGTCTGCTGAGAAGTTCTGCCAAATCGCTGTTCCCGAAGGTGGTGTCATCTGCGTGTTCTGGGTGAGCAGAGAAGACACGCAGCCGCTTCATATGACTACACCGCAGTACTGCTTCCTTTCCTATCTGTGTGCGTGTGCTTGCATGTCATGTATGTCCAGGATTTGGAGGGCACTCACCTCAGCCCCAACTTTGCCGATATCATCCAGATAGCTGCCGTGGCGAATCTGTTCCGGGACGGCGAGTGGCTACCCATTCCCGTGGACGATGCGAGCGCCGCCGACGACGGCACGACCGACGGCGGCAGGGGAGCCAAAGGCGGGGAATTCGGACGGTTTGTGAGGACGAAGGGTGGGGGGCGGAAGGTCTTCGTCAACGACACGGTGGCCTCGCTGACCGGCATCGACACCGCACTGCTGGAGAAAGAGGGTAAGGGGAACATATAGATCTCATTGATAGCACAACCCGCTAATCTCTGTCACTGTGCCTTTCATCTTTCCGTCAGGCGTGACTCTGGAGCAGGCGTTGCTCGAGTTCGAAGAGTGGATTCTCGCCTTGCGGCACACTTACGGTAGCGCGTCATCATCGCCAACCGACGACCCACCGCCCTCTACCAAACCAGCGGACCCCCATGCTGCTGCGACCAACAAAGCCGAGCCTGTGGAGTCCACCACTGCTTCCCCTGCCGACTGCAGCGCCTTAACATACAGCCCTTCCAACGTGCTGGACCATGACAGCGCTGAGGATAGCGCCCTGTCTGACACAGACAGTGACCGAAGGGAAGTGGAGGCGGAGGCTGAATCTGGCGACGAGGGGGTTGAGGCGGGAGAGGGATGGGGAGATGGGGGTCCTTCGCCGTCGCCGGGCCTTCCTGTGTGGCTGGTGGCTCACAGTGGCTTCTCATATGACCTGCCGCTGCTGTTCAACTCGATAAGGAAGGCATTCGGGGACATTAGTGGGCCTGCATTCGTCCAACAGGTATGCGAATGATAGGGATAGGCTGCTGGCCACGCCACTTCTGTACAGTCGCTGTCTTGCCTGCGTTCCTGTGCAGCGTTTGGGTGTGCATACGGTTGTCGATTCGCTGCGGTTTGCGCGGAAGCTCAGGCAGAAGGAGATCGCATTCACAGGTGGGCCAAGTCGGAAGTGAAGAGCATTGCAGTGCATTGTGCGTTTCCGATCTCGATTCATTGGCGTACTGTCCTCACTGCCCTCTTTGCGTGTATATGTGTGTGTGTAGATGGTGACAGCTTGGGCCTTGGCGCCCTGTACGCCCGGCTTGTCGGAGGTGACTTCACAGACGCCCACAATGCGCTGGGTAAGAAGAAACAAGGAAAGCCACATCAGGCAGTCAACTGACGCTCTTAAGCTACAACACATACATGGCCATATGTATGTCTGCAGCTGACTCGCGAGCTCTTGCCGCTGTTATGGCGAGGGAGCCACTTCTGAGCAACTGGCGGACAGAGAAGCTTGGCCTGTCGATGAAGGACTTCTTGTCTGTCCGGCACGAGATGTCGGTGCGTAACTCACACAAGACCAACGGCAACGGCAGAAGCAGCAGGGCCAGGTGAGTGAGGCGAAACGATGAACGCCTCAGGTTGTTTGTTTGATTCAAGAATCAGATTGGTACCTAGGGCGAGGGAGGGGAGGCCGGTGGTGGGTGTGGTGTGTCGATAGATAAGTGAGAGAGAGTGAGTGCTGGACTGACTGACTGACGCTGTCTGTACGACATACATTCCAGGCCATTCGTGTCTGGATTCGTCGGTCCTCTCTCTGTGCTGTGTGGGTGATTGGTAACTGACTGCCTGACAAGTATTGACATACATGACTAACAGGGCATATATCTCATCTCGCACCGCACCTTGTGCGCCCTGCACTCAGTCAGTGTTCGTTCGGCACGCCAGCAGTCGTATCTCCCTGTCTGTCTATGTACATTGAAAACGAACGCCAGCTGACTGGCTGAATCGAATCACTCACTCACTCACTGCTCGACCTGCCCGCCCCCCTCCTGTGCATAGGTCTGCAGGTCTTCAAGCACTGGCGACAACTCATCGTCACTGAACCGCTTCAGAGTCGGCAGCAGAGCCTGATGCCATACCACACGCACACACACACACACACACCATCCACCCCACGTAAGGAGCCCAGCGGCTGTCATGTATATACCAATTCTGGGTGCTACCTTACCTTTGCTTGCTCGACGTCAGTGGGGAGCAGGTCCACGAGAGATGCGAACTCGTGGCCCTTGAGCTGCCCGTTCAGCCACTCGCCATGCTGGAATTTGTGACTGACAGTTGCAACATAGCCACCACACCAACACATACACCCACCCCTCAGGAAAGTGACCACACTGTATGTCAGTATGGCGCCACCTGCCATACCGTGTGTGGCATCTTCATGCATGGCTTACTTACACTCTCATGTCATTCATTGTGTGCTGATTCCGGATGGTGGCGAACTCCTTGGCGTACTCGAGCGCCTGCTTGGCTGCACTGCAGTCATCCATGCCATGAACCAATCAACACAAAACAGACAGACGTATATACCAGGATACGATAGATACGTACGGGTGAACACACAGCGAATGAGCATCGGTGTCGTGCTTACGGCGCCTTGATCTTGGCTTGGTTGCCCTCGAGGCTGTAGACGGCCACGACCTCGCCCAGTGTCAAGATGGTGGCCTGATCTTCATCCGACTCTTTCTTGTTTGCTGCCATGGGCACAAACTTTCTCACTGAGCTAAGCTCGCAGATGTTGCTGAGCTCGCACTTTGAAACCGCGACGAAGCGTTCTCTCCCATTGCTTTGTGGTCCCGATGCTGCCTTTGGCAGCTTCGTTCTCGCGCGCCGAGCTGTACGCCAAGAACCGGCGCATCAATGTCAGGCTGACATTCGCCGTGTCGGCCCTGTCGACTCTCTACTATGCCACGGCACAAGGAGGCATCTTCGGTGAGGAGGAAAAGATTGATTGTGGCAAAACCATGAGTGCAGCAACCAACGGTGGCAAGGATCTGCGCTGCGCTGTTTTGTTGTGTTTGTCTTGCGTTATCCATCGATGATCTGCAGACACGTACCTCTATCTGCTGTCGAGCAGCATCTGGGGCGAGGCCAAGGCCAACAGAGGCAAGCATTCACACACAGTCAGACAATGAGTGCTGTGCAAACATCTCAGGCAGATGTGTCCCGCCCACCGTGTTGTGTCCTTCACACAGCTGTTGGCTTCGCCGAGTCCATCAGCGGTCTGACGTCGCTCATCTGCGCAGTCCCTGTGGGGCTGCTGGTCGACAGATTGGACAGGACGCTGCTCGCCAAGGCCAGTGGCATCATCGGCCTCGTGGCTACCGTCAGTGGAGCCTACGCACTGCTGACCGACTCTATCTATCTCATCTACTTCAACCTGCTTCTCTGGGGGGTCTTTGCCGAGCTGTTTTCCTCTTCATCCGAGGCCATCTTCGCCGACTCTGTCGACCGCGGGCAGCGCTCGAAGCTCTTCACCTACAAGGGGATCCTCACCACTGTGTGGCTCGGGGTGGGGCCGGCCATGATGTGTGTCTTCTTCCTGGCATTTGGCGACAAGTGGTCGCTGTCCATCTGCCACATCCCGCTGGTCATCGGCACCATCATCTTCGCCCCCCTCTGCTGCATATGCACGTCCTTCTATCGGCACCCCAGGCCGTGGGTGAAGGGCGCCACGGCAGCCGCAACAAACGAGAGCAATGAGGCGACATCGAGCACCTCGATGAATGGCAATGGCACCACGGGGTCGACATTTGCGTCAATGTCGAGTGATGCGGCGGGCGTCAAGCAGAGGGCTGGGGGTGCAGGTGATGGTGGAGGCAGCGATGAAAACCACATGGTCGCCATGAATGGCGAGGCTGGGGCCAGTGGAGATAAGGGAATAGCGGCTGCTGCAGCGGGGGAGGCCAACAAGGAGGATGTGGATGACTCTGAGCTGCTCAAAAATCTCACACCGGCACAGCGATGCATCCCTTATATCGTGTGAGGAGTGAGCAACACACCACACTGCGCAGGGCAGACAGACAAGACAAGACAAGATAGGTGGCTCGGCTCCGCTCAGCCATGTATTTTTTGTTGCTTGCTTCATTGTGTCTGTCTGCGTGTTGTGTTGTGTTGTGTCTGCAGGGCCTTTTGTGACTTCATCATGTGCATCGGCGCGGGAATGACAGTCAAGTACTTTCCTCTCTTCTTCAAAAACGACTACGGGTGGACAGAAATGAGAAGACAATCCCGCCCACTGCACTGCAGTCAGTGGTATTAGTTACTCATGTCTGTGCCATGCCGGTGTTGTGTGCAGCTTCACCCCCATGCACGTGTGCATCCTGACGGCCATCTATCCCCCCTGCATCGGCCTGTGGATGCAGCTCGCGCAGAAGCTCAGCACCAAGATGGGCCGGGCACACGCATCACTCATGTGGCAGCTGGCGGGCTGCACCTGCTTATTCCTCATGTCCCAAGTGTACCATCTGCCGTCGCTCATCGTGCTGTTCCTCGTCCGTGGCGCATTCCAGAACGCCTGCAACCCGCTGGATCGGTCGATCCTCATGGACTACACACCTAGCAAGCACCGGGGGAAATGGTGAGCAAGTTGGAGGATGGGCACTAGTTTGTGTCTTGATGGCGTGATGGGGCGGGGCGTGTGTGCGGGTGTAATTAGGAATGCCGTCGAGTCGTTGACAATGATGACCTGGAGTGGCAGCGCCTTCATTGGTGGCATGCTTGCTGACTCGCACGACTAGTGAGAGAGAGATCTTCACACACACACACACACACACTTGTCAGTCAATCAGGAGCCGCATTCATCTCCTCTCCATCCATCAATCCACCCATCCATCGGTCTGTCTGTCTGTCTCTGGTCTGGTGTGGTCGTTGTCAGTCGGTACACGTTCATGATCACGGCCTTTATCTACCTCTTCGCCCTGGCCGTCTACTCGCCTCTGATTGTCCTGGTACCCCGCAACGAGGCAGACGCCCTCGCCCACGCCAAGCCGCGGACCGATTCCATCCAGGCATCACCCAAGATCACCCGCAGCCCAGATGCCCTCGCCTTCACATCCTCGCCCAGCTCACTACGCGGCCGGCCGCCTCGGTCAAGGGAGTACTCGATGGACGCTGTCGATGTGGAGCACCTGGACGAGCATCTCCTCAGCCATTCCCACTCGCGGGGGGACTCGCACCATGATCCGCACTGCTACCCCACGGCCGTGTACCCCACTGCCGTGGACCACACCCACATGACGACCGACAATGTCAACTATGTGAGGATGGAGGATGAGCACAAGACGGCATGACTGACTGACCCAAGGAAGGGGTCCATGGGGTCGTGGTTTTTTCCGTGTGAGTGTCATGTGTCGTGTGTCTTGTCGTGTCGTGTCGTGTGTGTGGTTTTGTGAGCTGAGTGCTGACCAGTTCTGTGGCAGACAGGGGAGGGGAGGGCAGGGCGGGGCAGCCATGGCATGGCATGGATAGAAGAGGCTTTTTCATCCGTTTGCCGCCCACACCACACAATGGCTTAGGTAGCCGGCAGTTCTGCATTCCACTTTTCCGTGTGTGTATCTATTGCTGACGTGTCGTTGCTGGTGGCGTGCTCTTGTCGCTGCGGCTAGCTGTGCTGTTGGCAGCTGGGTGAGGTGAGATGGCTGCCCACCGGCACCGCCGCACCACAGAACTGACCCACTCACTCGGCAAGGCAAACCCACACGAGCGAGCGAGCAGTGTCGTTGTGCCAGACAAGCGTTAGCGTGCATTTGTATACGTATCTATCTCGTGTCACGATAGTGAGAGGCAGGCAGGGTCTTTTCCCTCTTGCTGGCTAGTGCAGTGCTTCAAACGAAGACCCCGGCTGCAAGACAATTGATTGATTGATTACACACTCGCTCGCTGAAAGCGCCACACTCGCTGCGCTGATTGTTGCCTTGGTTGATTGATTGGTGTGGTGGATGGGACACACACTGATACGTCGGTCGGTTCACAACTGAATATATAGCTTCCCTCCTCACGTGTAAACGTATGCACTGCACAGCCACACTAGAACGAAAAGGAAACCAGAGAGATGGGGGGGGCCTGCGCACTCAACGAAGGAAAAGTAATTGGCCGTCCCCCCCAGCCGGCCCCTGCCCAAGCTATCCTTTTGTCAGGCAGGTCACCAGCCTCCCTAGATGTAGGTCATCCGGTCCATCTCGCGCATCTTGGCGTTCTCGGCTCTCTCCTGGGCGATTTGCATCTGCTTCCCAGACTGGTCCGCCAGCAGAGTCCGCAGACGGTTGGGCGCATACACCTGCATTATATGCAATCCACACACACACCAGCTTAAGAGAGTTAGTTCTCGCCACCGTGTCTGTCGTGTCTCTGTGTGTGCGGTGTGTCCCTAGGGAGGGATACCTCCGAGTTGTTTTCGTCCCGCTCGACGAGGAAGCAGTAGAAGATGGTGTCGGCAGTTTGGTCGAAGACAAGCATCACCAGGCTGCTGAGAGACAGGGCAATGATCAGAACGAACGCACCCACCACCAGGGGAGACTCCACAAACCTGCAGACACACACGGTCAACAGATAGATGTGCGTAGGTAATGTGGTTCTCATAGCAGCTGGGACGGGACAGCACCGTCGTGTCGTACCTACCAGTCGTCTGCAGGGTCGTTGAATGGTTTGACGGTGGTCATGAGGGCGTACATGCCCCACGACGTCGACAGGCCGATGCTCAGCACACCCAACAGGGAAAATATCTTGGAGAACCTGCCAGCCATTCATTCCACACATATAACGCATTGGTGGGGTGGGTGTATGCGATGCAGCGAGGTTGGCCAATGCGCTCACAGCAAACCCACCCACCCGTTAAGGAAGACGACAGCCGGTGCTGCTTTGATGAGCCTGGCGACGGCCTGGGCGGCAGCGGGGCAGAAACTGACAAAAAAAGAACGACAATGGGGCCTTCGACTGTCTCCCTCGTGGGATGGATGGATGGATGAATGCGTGTGTGTGGTGCGGTGTGGTAAATATGTACCTACCTGACGGAGTTGATGACGCATTCGATGTATGCGTTGGAGTTGACGTACTCGGCACACCACTGGAAACACGATATGCACCCCTGCATGCACCTGCAGTACAGTGCAGTGCAGGGGATGTCATGTGACGTCATGGGTACACACAGGAAGGGATCCGATCCACACAACAGACAGACAGACAGACAGAGACATATATCATATCGGCGTGCAGGGCAGGGCCCTGCTAGGCTATCAGATCAATCAGGCTGACCGACCGACCGTATGAGGCAGGAGACGACGCCGTTCTCTCCCCCAGTGGCCGACTGGATGCGCTTCTTCACGATCTCTAACAAGTATTTGATGAACCTACGCAACAAGACAACCAAATGAGACAGACAGGTCCAATTGGACAGGTCTAGCTAGAAGTGCGTCTGTGTGTGCCCTTTCTTTCCCCCTTCCTTCCTGCAGGTGGCGATGATGAAGGAGCCGATGGCCAGGGTGCCCACGTGGAACAGACTGAGTAAGGAGGGAGGGAGGGAGGGAGGGAAGGACATGGATGCATGCATGCATCATGCTGTAGACAGATGCGTCTCTGCCTTCATGTTTATCACTGTGGTGACTAACGCGGCGGCTTTCACTCCATAGTAGATGGGGCACGACACAGAGCGGTCATTACTCCCCGGCTCGGGCTGATTCACACACACACACACACACACACACGCGAACCCATCCATATATGGGAGCGCCTGTTTGCCGTCCGTCCTTGTGTTTCTTTTTGTTAGCTTGCTGACCAGTGTGAAGTACCAGAGTGCCACCCCGTATGATGCGACGAACTGCCAGAAGGCAGCCATGAACTCCACCACCCACAGGCCGCCAAAGAACCAATACAGCGCAAATCCCGTCAGACGGTCGTCCAAATGGAAATGCCTGCAAATGGACACGACAGGAAACGAACGACCCGGATCTCGTCCGTCCGAGAGGCAGCTAGCTTTAAGGTATCCATCCATTGCCTGTGAATGCCCTGTATGGGAATGGCGTCCGGCGCGTTACTGCCCGTTCCTAGGGCGGTTATGGTCTTGCTCTCCATGGTGCCGCTGCAGGCATATTGCATGGCGCCCACACTCCTGTGTTCCCCTCCCTCCCTCCCTCCC